TCAACAGCGACTAATAACCAACGGTTTCCTTTTACGGTCAAAGGTAGTTCGCCAATGAAGTCTAGGTGCCATCGGTCAAAGGCAGTAGGTATCTTTAAGGGGTGCATAACGTCATGGTGGGTATGGCTAGGTCGGCTGTTGACTTGACATGCAGGACATGTTTTCAACCAATCTTTCAAATCACGTTTCATACTTGGCCACCAAAAACGAGGTGTAAAAAGCTTAACCATGGTTTCGAAACCAGCATGACCATTCGCCTCATGATAGCGAGCAACCAGATCAGCCCTTGAAGCAAAAGGTACGAAAGGAACCGCCTTTGTTGTTTGTTTGTCATCTACTTGAACCAAACGATAGACACGACGATCTTTAACCACAAATTTCTCATGCTTTTTTTCTAGATAGTGTCTTAATTCGGCAGACTTAACTCTATTCAGATCAAGATAGAGCATAGGCCAATCCAGCTGGATAGATTCTGGTGCATTCTTCATTGTCCAAGTAGCATATAAGAATTCTGGTTCTAAGGACGACTCAGCACTAGTAGATTCAGGGCCACCGATTCTAGACAATACATCAGCTGCATTGTTTTCTTTACCAGGCTTGTACTCAATAGTAGGTGAGTAAAGCTCCAACTCGTTCATCCAACGCACCAATCTTGGGCTCATTTTATCTTGCGACCTCAAGTAACAGTTGGGAAGGTGGTCAGTCAAGATCTTGTAGCCTCCGCGACAACCATCAAGAAAACATCGCCAAGTACGAAGTGCATGTAAGATCCCCATCAATTCACGCTCTTGAGCAGGGTAGTTACGTTCTGCAGAGGAGAATTTTTTCGATTCGTATGCTACCGGATGCCACGCAGGAGGGTCCTTATCATCGGGTTGCAAAAGCACAGCACCACAACCAAAATCAGATGCATCTGTTTCCACTCTAAAAGGCTTATTCATATCAGGAGCTTGTAGCACAGGGGCAGAGACCATCATTGTCTTGATTTTATCAAAGCTTTCTTGACACTCCTTAGTCCAGACAATAGGACGTCGTTTAGGACCAGTGCCTTTAGTGAGATCAGTCAAAGGAGAAGCGATTGATGCAAATCCCGGAATGAAACGTCGGTAATGTTGAGCTAGGCCAATAAAAGATCTGACTTCTTGGACATTGGTCAAGGCAGGCCATGAATTTAATACCTTGATTTTGGCACGACTAGGTAAGATACCATTGGAGGTGATATCGAATCCAACAAATGTCAATTCTCGTTTACCAAACTCACATTTTTTTAGATTTGCGATTAGGTTGGCATTTTTGAGTTTGTTCAATACCATGCGTACATGTTGCTTATGCTCTTCTAGTGATTTACTGTAAATCAAAATGTCATCCAAATAAACCAAAGCAAATTTGTCTAAGTAGTCACCCAAGATTTTGTTCATTAAGCTTTGGAACGTTGGAGGAGCATTGGTAAGTCCGAATGGTAAAACCAAGAATTCAAACTGTCCGTATCTGGTGTTAAACGCCGTCTTTGGCACATCTTCTGGATTGATGCGCACTTGGTGATAGCCCGACTTCAAATCAAGACTTGTAAAATAAGTGGCACCTTGCAGGCGATCTAAACATTCATCGATCCTTGGTAACGGGTGGTTGTTCCGAGTGGTTACACTATTCAAAGCACGATAATCAATGCACATTCGCATTTCTCCAGTTTTCTTTTTCACAAATAGAACAGGTGCTCCCCAAGGCGAAGCGCTTGGACGAATCAGGCCTAATTGTAGCAGTTCTTTGATCTGCTTTTGCAGTTCATCTAGTTCGGCAGGACTCATTTTGAATGGAGGGCGACTGATAGGCTTGGCTTCTCCCGTGTTGATGACATGAGTTACGTCACGCTCCGGAGGTAGCCCAGGTAATTCATCCTTGAAAACTGAAGAGAATTCTTTCACTATTTTATCCCAGTATTCTTCTTTTACAACCATAGGATTTCTTTCGTTTACTTCAGCAGAATTTACGTACAACAAGTAACTCTCAGCTCCTCTACGAATACTCTTTTCCGCCTGTTTTTTTGATATCAAGTAGTTCAGTTGAGGGATTGTAGGACGTCCTTGACGGTAGTCATTTCGAGGAACTAGTTCAACTTGCTGTTTCTTGTCTTTACTCTGTATATACCAAGTATCGTTGGACCAGTCAGGGCGCGGATCGACATCCTTCAACCAAGTTCGACCTAGAATTACATCAAACTTAGTGGGGAACACGTAGGCTGTCACCTTGGTCTTGAAACCTTGTAAGTCTAAAAATACTTCGACCTTTTGATTAATCTCGGTTGTTTCGCCACCAGCAGTTTCCACTCGTCGATCATAAACAGGAGTAGAAGAGACAGCATGCTTTGCTACACTGGGCGACACATAGTTTTCGCTTGCGCCACTATCGATCAATATGTCTAGACTAGTACCATCAACTTTGCCATGGTATAGAGGTAGTTTTGTAGCGACTACGTTTAGTTCAGACAAATACTGAAACTCTTCTTTTAGCCCTTTACTTGGATGAATGATAGGCACTAATTCAGTAACAACGCCGTGTTCAGTTTTTGTAAATTCCTCGGGGTCTTGGTCTTTAGTGATTACAATAGAATCATTATTATCGTCGTTGTCATCAGTATCAGAATAAGGTGTGTAATCTTCAACTTTATTTGACTTTTGAGTAAAACATTTACAACAAGTTGTGTTACTATAGTCATCGCTTGCAGGAAGATTTTCTGAATCTTCACCTAGCTGAGCTTCCTGTTCCTCAACTAGGTTTAATGAAAATCCTTTGACGAACTAGCACCATTATTCTTGTTTAGTTTGCGATAGCGGTCTTGCTCCATTCGACGGATATCTTCACTACGCATTTTGCAAAAACGGCGAATGTGACCAATTTTGCCACAGTAATGACAACGGGTGTTTTGTCGAGGAGAGGAGGTCATCACGCTTAAATCCATTGGCTCGCCGGCATAGGGTCTCCTTGGTGGAATAGAACGGTTGGCATTGAAAAATCCAACATTTCGACGATAAAAAGTGGGATTTTCATGTATAGCGCTGTCGTGTGCAATTGCGACACGAATGGCTTCTCTCAAGTTAGTACTTTGGGCTTGACGAACTTGAGAACGGGTATCCCGGTTAGAGAGCCCGCGCATAAACTTGTCGCATGATTCATCTTCGGTAATTCCTGGGATAGCAGCAATGATGTCCATAAAACCATTAATATAGTCGTTTAGGGAACCCATTTGTCGGTAGGCTGCCAATTTATCTCTGGCAAGTCGGATAGAGTCATCGGGTCGGAAAAAATCCACCAATTCCCTTTTAAGTGTCAACCAGTCTTGTGGTTCTTCTTCAGTATCAGATTCCAGAGTACGGTACCAGGTGTCGGCCCTTCCGCGCAACAATGTGACAGCATAGCACTTAGTTTGTCTGGAATCCCAGCCTTGGAAATCAGCGTAACGTTCCAAGGTACGAACCCATGAGTCAATAATCATTGCATCGCGAGTACCGTCGTAGGTTGGGGGTTCAATTGTACGAGGTACACTTCTACCACCATTGTTATTCAAGGCCTTGGTAAATTCTTGAATAAGGGAGACAATAGCAGTATTGTCAGACAAATCAGAGGTAGAGTTTTCTTTGGACATTTTTTTTTTCAATAATACACCAGTACTAATCAATTAAGATAATAGAGTAATTACAGCACGTAGGCAAAATAAAGATACAATACAGCACTTAGGCACAGATATACAGCACGGAGGCACACAGGGAGATACAACAGTCAGGAACGGAACGTCTGATGCTACCAATTGTCGATTTGATATTTTACTTAGGTTTGTATTCTTATAGTCAAGTCACGAGACAATAGAACGTTTCTTAGCCAATAGATTCACTGGGAAATATTCTGGAAATAACGTGACGTCACAGAAAGGAACTGTGTATTGATACAGTAAGTATAAGATCTTTATTTATAATAAATGTAATGTTACCTGTGTATTGATACAGTAAGTATAAGATGAAGAACTTACAAGTATCAATAACACAGTATTTATATGTTTTCTAATTGTACTAAAATATATAAACTATAACATATGGAGAAGGAAGTAATTAAATACTTAAAGCTGATTGATGTTTCTGTCTTGACGAATCTAAAGTGTGCTTGGCTTTACTAATGCGAATCAAGTTGAGGCGGACTTTCTTTCTTCTTTTGTTCAGTACTTGTGGTTTAAACCTTCGTTTGTTCGGATTATAGTTTGTTGGAAGGTTATATTCAACTTCAATTGGCTGTTTCTTACTGGAATCGCTATTTTCTGTGACAGTGACTGTTAAAATTTACAATATTTATATAGCATCAAATACAAACTAGTCACGTGACTATAAGAATAAATACCTTTTTTCTTTTATAAGATGCATATCGTACTGTCAAGATTAATGGACATTGTCAGTTTGAACTTATCTCGAAGAATGTTTGTGCATCACTAGCTTTTTATTTCTTCATTTTCAATGGTTTTGATTCTCTATAGAATAGATGATGTCATTATATAAAAATAACCTCAGTTAACAAAACTTTGCATGAATCGATTTGATATATGATTTAAAACCACTAGATTTCTATCAATTAACTGTTCTCAAAGTTAAGATATAAGTATATTTAATTCTTCACCCAAGATAAATGGTTTGAATCGTGCAGGTGACTGAGGCGCTAACTAGGAAAAATCTATCATCTAGTTAAGTATGATACTTGGCTTACTTCAAACAAAATATGCTTTCTTTACACAGAGTAATTCAGAATAAACTTCAAACAGCTATGGTATGCAAATGTTGAGTGCTATAGGTCTCTTTACATGCATGAACACAAAGAAATTACCTTTTGAAGATCTCAAGAAATTATCTCTATGTAGTGTATGTAGTAACCTACTTTTTTTTCTTTGTGCTGATCTTTTTCTCCCTTTTTTGAATAAAATTTATTGATTCCTTTTCTTTCTTTCCTTTCAAGTTTATAGAAGCATGTGCGAACAGTATAGACCCAATATCGAAGGTAAAGACAAGGTAAACTTCTACCGAGAAAAAGCCTTGATAAAAGAAAACAATAGCCATTTTGAAAGACTCTGATCTCTCCACGATCACAACAAAGAAAGTTCGTCGTACCTTGGAAGAACAAACTGGAACTTCTCTCGAGCCTATGAAGAAGGAAATCAACGCGTTTATTGAAGAAATATTTGTCAATTTTCAGCCTCCTGAGAAGCCAGTCGATAAGTCTTCTTTGGTTGTTGATACTCGAAAAAAAAGCCTCCGAAAGACGACACCTGCTACTATAAAGAAGAAAGAAGTCAAAAAGAAGGCTGGCTCTGGCGAAAAAAAGGCAATTGATTGGCCATTACTCAAGATCAACTCACCTCTGAGTACAATCATTGATACAGACCTTGTAAGTAAAATGTGGGAAGTAATACAAAAGCTAATATCAATTAGTGTTCGCGTCCTCAAACAGTAAAGAGATTGTGGGAGTACATTAGAAAAAATAAGTTACAGTCAGAGAACGACAAACGAGTCATCAATTGTGATGATCTATTGAAGGAAATATGTAAAGGAAAAGAGACAATCAATGCATTTACTATCAACAAGTATCTTAAGGATTATTTTGTAACAATTCCTAAAGAGGAACAAGAGACTTACAAACAAATTTTGCGTGAAAGAGAAGGCAAGCAGTCTCAAGATGCTCCAGCAGCATAAGATTTAGACTATAAGCTCATGTAAGGAGTTTAAATAAAGAGAACATACTGAAACAACTCAAGACATTCTGTCTCCAACAGATAAAGCGTAACTTATAACTAGCTGTACCCAAACAATAGCTTTAATGTACGCATGAACTATGGAAGGCTTTACAGTTGTCGAATATTATTTAATACGTATCGTGAATTGAAATCATGTGTCTTCATTACTAAATTTTGAAAACTCTTGCAACGAATATAGACCTTCAAGATCTGCTTCTTGTTTCTCGTTCTATCAAAGTTGACTCTGTTGGACATTACAAATTCAGATATGCTACATTCATAATATTTATCTTCCGTTATCGTCACTGATCTTACATAGAAGTGCTTGCCATAGTCTTGTTCGATGTCAGAATGGTTAGTCAAGGTTTTGAAAGAACTATATGGCATATCGATATTGTAAGTGGAAGGAGTCTCAACAAACTTACCTCATTCATCATGGGTAGTACAGTTATGGACTGTGAGATGTTTCAAGCAAGGAAGCTGAGCAGACAATTGATACAATAAAGGTGCATAATACTGAACCGAAACAAGATCTAGTCTCTTCAAATTGGGACAGCAGTTAAAAATGGTGCTCAAGTTCTTGATCTTGATCAAGAAAATTAAGTACATCATCAGCTGAACATTCAAAGTGTAAGCCAGAGAGTGAAATCCGAATATCTTCTATCATAATCAAGGATTCCAAAGTGTCCCCTCCAAATCTTGATACAATATTCATTGTAGGCTTGTAATTTGGACTTGATTCGAGGGTTAGAGTATTTGATGATATTCTAGAGAAAGCATCTTCAAGCTTATGCTTTACACAGAGATCTTTTTCTAGCAGAAACTCTTGAAAGACATGCACGGCTTCATCCATGTTTTGAACTTGCAGATTTTTGATAGAAAAGCTTTTCATATCGGCTAGATATTTAATGAATGATTTCAATACTTTAGTAATGAACACTGGCTTATTTATGTTTGCTAATCTGTTGAAATTAGAATGAGGGATTGCGTCGAGCGTTAAATGCACTAGATTTGGGAACTTTTTCATGATGTAATTGTGTCTTCTGAGCGTAATAGTAACTTTAAATGGACTTGAGTTATACTTTTTATCTGCTTTAGTTCGCTAATATATGTTTCTTGTACCTCAAGCGAAAGTAAATCTGGAAGAGGCCTAATTGGATACAAAACTATGCTTAAGGTTTTTAAGCGAATAAGGTATTGTATTTTTTGAAGGAGTTCTGTCAGGGGAATATTCGTAATCTTTTGAAAATCTGATTTCTTCTTCAGTATGTTGGATTGATAAATATTGAGGGTTGAGCGTGTGTAGGATAGAGTATTACATATTTTGAGTTGTTTAATCGTATCACGCATAGTCAAAGCAAGATAGCTATAATGTTCAATCTCATCATTATCTGAAGGATATTGTAATGTGTTTGAGTATTTCCAGTTTCCCTCATAGCGTTCCATCAATATCCTGGTCCAAAAGTGACTGCATGTATTAACCAGTTTCAATTCCCTTAGATTTGGACAATGTTTGACTAAATTGGTGAAGCAGTTCGAGCTATCCCGTTTTTCTTGTTGGTTATTAAATACATTGTTAATAAATAGTTGTCTAGTGTTATTTCTCACACGGCAAGATGAAGTAGTCATAGTGCGCATAAACAGTGCAACCTGGGCAGTACTTACGATCGCGACGTTTGCATAAAGAGCCTCTTGTGAAGCCTTTGCCTAGTTACAACAAGTTAGCATTTTGCCTTATCTTTACTTTCCAGGTACGAAACTATATCTCTAAGTATCTCGTTAGGACATGACAAGAGAAATTCTAAATAGTCACTAGGGCCAAGTTGAATGGTTACATCTAGTTATGATTTACTTTTTTAGGGGAAGTCACACAGACTATTCAGCTGCTTGCTCAACTTTGCAGCAAAACTTGTATTGATCAATATCTCAAGGAAAGCTATTATATCTTTTCGACATGTTGACAGTGATGTTCCATGCATACCAAGAACAATCAAGAAGTGGTCTCGCTAATTTATTTAGCCGCATGATTTAAAGCAGTCTGGAGTCAATTTGCACATACATATCAAAAGAAAAAGCTATTATAATAGAATACCATTGTATGAATATATTCAGGACAATTCAAACGCTTTGAGTATATAGGATTTTAAACGTTTTTTGGACTAAACCAAGCATTTATGTCAATAAAAAAACATTGATTACTAATCTACACATTTATATTAAACTAGACGGAAACCTTTTAAAACACACTTGAGCTGAATTAATTAATTTTTTCCCTTCCTTTAAAAATGACACGAGATTTAAAAGCGCTTCCTACCTATGATCAATTGCCTATTGATTCCAAATATCCACCCAAAACTGCTTGGGGACTTTGGGGAGAAGATGATAACTATGGCACTCTTAACTTACTAACTGAAGAGCGTGTCGCCAAAGTAAGGATAACATTAGAGGGAGGATTTGACATAATTTTAACTTTTTTCTAGGCATCCAAGTGTATTTGTCGTGGTGCTATTTTCCCATTAAATTGGAAACTTGAGTCACCCAATCCCCCATTATATGGTCGAACTGAAATTTCCCATACTTACAAGTCTCTTTATCCCGGTGATTTAGCATACGATGATATTCTCACTTTGAACACTCAAGCTTCAACTCAGTGGGATGGCTTACGCCATATCGCTCACTTACCTTCTGGCTTGTACTACAATGGCATTAAGCCCTCTGATATAGCTAAAGGAAGTGCCCAAGCAAACGGTCGATTGGGTATTCATCATATGGCTCAACGAGGTATTGCTGGTCGTGCTGTCTTGCTTGACTATGGTCGCTGGGCTGCTAAACATAAGCCTGATTTTGATCCATTTGAGAAAATTGAAATTCCTGTTGAAGAATTAGACCAAGTAGCAGCTGAACAAGGTGTCACTTTTGAGACGGGAGATATTCTCTTACTTCGTACAGGCTGGATTGAAGCTTACGAAAGATACGGAGAGAAAGTAGCCGAGAAAATAAAAGACTTGAATAACCCTGACGCTGCTGGTGTAAAGTCCGGTGAAGAAACCCATAAATGGCTTTGGAACCATCATTTTGCTGCTGTTGCTTCTGATAATATTGCTTTTGAAGCTTATCCTGTTTCTGACTGGACTACTTCTTGTCGTAAGTTGGGAATAATATGGAACATACAATAAACTTATGTATTTCTTTTAGATACATTCTTGTTAGGTGGTATTGGTTGTCCTATTGGCGAAATGTTCTATCTCGAAAAACTAGCCGAAGATTCTGCTGAAGATAAAGTCTATACATACTTCTTTACCAGTGCTCCTTTAAATAAGGACAGTGGTGTTGCTTCTCCTCCTAATGCTATCTGTATTAAATAAACATTCTATTCTACATATTTTTTTTATTTAAAAAAAAAGAAGGGGGGGATAACTTAGTTTGTAATGGCAGTAGGAAAAGGTGGTGGGATAGCTTCCTTAGGAAAGAGCTTTTCACCACGTAGTTTGACAGCATCTTTAATCTTGACAAATTGATCATCAAATCCAGGAACAGATCCCTTCACATAAACCAAATTCAATTCAGGATCAATCTTTATAACCTTCAAGCTTTGAACTGTAACACTTTCACCACCAAGACGACCAGCCATCTTCTTGCCCTTGAAAACTTTACTAGGCCACTATACAACCAAAGAAAATCAAATCATGCTTACACAAGTCATTGCATCTTACCTTACGCTGACCTGTTGAACCACCAGAACGATGTGTCAAAGAAACACCATGAGAAGCAGGAAGACCCTTAAAGTTCCATCTCTTCATGACACCAGCAAAACCCTTACCAATGCTAATATTGTATGTTAATACTGTCCTATCCATGCTGCACATGCCACTTACGAAGGTGCTGTAACATCAACATATTGGCCTGTCACAAAGTGTTCTGCTGTCAAAGGAGTACCAATGGGCAAAACTGCATCCTTTGTTACTCTGAATTCAAATAGCTTTTGACGAAGTTCAACACCTAAAGCTTTAAAGTGTTCAATCATAGGTTTTGGTGTGTTCTTTTCTTTCTTTGGTGTGCAGCCAACTTGCAATGCTGTATAGCCGTGCTTTTCTTCAGTACGAACATCGGTGACAATCACATCCTCTAACTATATTATCAAGTCAATCGACACGTTCTATACATGATAGATCTGAATATACCTGCAATACAGTCACAGGCAAGCGAATACCGCTTTCACTCCAAACAGAAGTCATGCCCTTCTTTCTAGCAATGACACCAGTACGAACAGAATCAGCTGTCCATTGTGTAGCAGGAGTTGCTTGAGCAGCGAAAGTACTGGTATGAAAAGCTGAAGCGACAACTGCGCGAATAGGGCTGTATACAGCTGACTTGCCGAGAAGTGCAGACTTTGTGAACAAGCTCAATGACATTGAATAGCAATTACAAAAGGAAGAAAAAAGCAAGAGCTGTAGGGCATCCCTACCAAACTCGTCAAATTCAAATTCCGATTTGTTTTAAATGGCCGTCACAATTCCTTTCAGTGGCTTATGATACATCAATGCAAAATGATAAACACACACTCTTTCCAGTTTGCAGTTATTCAATATGCAAGTCACTTTTCAATGCACAGACCTTTCTTGTCTCCCCTTATTTATTGCTTAGTTAGAATAGATATTGATCTAAGCAGATAGATTTGCCCACTTCAGCCTATCTTGATGCTTTTTTAACTCAGCTAAATTAAAGAAACAGGGTGTTTCAAGTCAAACAAAACGAACCCTCATGTCCGCACATATAGGACAATAAATAAAAGATAAAACTCACTTTGTCATCCTACATGAAGCTTCTCTACTAAGAACAGGATCAAAGTGGCTTGAAAAAAATAAGTAAAATAAAGTTTGTGTTTTTTTTTTTCGAACAATGGAATTTGACAAACAGCCTGAGAGATGGCTTAAGCGTATATTGTCATCATTGTTATTGTTACTAAACAATACAAATATTACCAAATTTACTGCTATGCCATTTTCGTACTCTTCAAATTCAGTTGTACTTTGCCTACGTAACTATGCGTATTAACATGCATGCAATACGTGTCTATGTTCACGTCCTTGAGTTATCTAAAGTGTTGATTTCACTCAAAAAAAACTCAGCCTTAAAAAAACCGACTGTTTTTTTGGGTATACAGTGATTTTCGTTGTAATTTTTTTTCGTTCTCTCTTTTCTCTCTTCTTTTTCTTTTAAACAGTGCTTTCTTTCCTTTAGAACCAATAATTTACAAGGGACAAATAGAAAGAGACCAAACAAAAAAAGAAGGAGTTGAGTGCAGGCCATTGAACAATGCTAGAATGGACGACTCATCGCCACCCACGCCAGAATTGCCGGAACTTAAGAACCGCTTGTCCTCTAATAGTGGAATTAAACGAAACAAAGTAAGCCGAGCATGCGACGAGTGTAGAAAGAGAAAGGTAATTTTTCGATACTGGTACCTTATTATGCGATTAAATGTACTTGAAATTGTGCTTCCACTCGCCAAGTTTCACTGAGCATAATTTATACCTCTTCATTATTAAACTCAGACTATAACCGAAAAATTAAACATTGTCTATGCTGTTATAGGTACGATGTGATGGAGCTCAGCCTTGCGCGCGGTGTCAAAGATCACCTACAGAATGTATATTTTCAAATGTCACACCAAAAAGGGGTCCACCTAAACAATACTTGGAGCCGTTCGAAAACAGACTGAAAGCAATTGACACTGTATTACATGTACTCGAATCCTCATCCCAAGAAACAATCCCTATAGAAAATAAAAACAATTGGAAAAAGACAGGTAAAGCGATAGAGGGCAAGAGTTATGGCTCATGACTCAAGTTAGATCCTGTCATTGGAACAAACATACATTTGGATGTCACCTGCTTTGGGCAGGCACTCTATATACCTGATTTTCCTGCTCGTATTGATCGCTTAGAACCAATACAGAATTTTGCATTGGACTCTGAGCCACCACCACCACCTGGCTTGCCTGACCAAAATACAATAAGATTTGATCTTGTGCGATTGTATTTTGACCATATTCATCCATCCATGCCGTTTTTGTCCAGATCATTGTTTACTCAACCTCAGCCACCTACATTACTCTTACATGCCATTTATGCAGTCGCGTCAAAATTCGTACAACAAGACAGCAGTGATCCTCCAGGCTGGTCATTCTACAAAACAGCGCTTAGCCTGATCGATGCATATGCTGATATGCCACGATTGTCAACTGTCCAAGCCCTTGTGCTGTTGTGTAAATACCATGAACATGTCCATCGTCCAGGCTTTCTTTATCGAACTAAATTCTTTATACAAATGGCTATGCGAATGGCGAATGATTTGGGCCTATCAAGAAAGATTCCAGATATATGCCATGTACAAGAGGAGGCAAGAATACGCACTTTTTGGGTTATGCAAACATACAGTACCTTGATAAGGTAAGTTGATATTAACACAAATAAGTAAATTGACTGTTGATAGCATTGAGCAAGGGCTGGAACTACCGACTCAAGAATGCACGGTCGGTTACCCGCACGTCCTCTCAGACGAATCTGGCAGCAGTGATGCCAATGCTGTCCTCTATTTCTATTGGCTCTGCAAGGTGATACATGTACAGCTCGCTGTCATTCAATTCATGAAAAAGTTCAAAGATCATGTCAGTGGCAATGACATGGAACAATTTATTGAATTAGAGAATACCCTTATAGGCTTAGGGACAAACATACCTCATACAATAGATGGTGATGTGCGCGTCTCTTTTGTTCACTTAATATACCATTTGACTGTAATTTTGTTGTTTAGACCTTATGCCCTTACAAACACGATAGATCAACGCCAACAAAGGGCCATTTCACATTGTTCAACATCTGCTTCTACTGTAGCAAACATAATAGACAATGCTGTCAATACGCATGGAAAAAATGCTTTCTCTACCTTGATAAGAAGCAATCAACAAGTCATTTATTGTTTGACAACTGCTGCTACTATGTTACATGCACTCAAGGATCCAAGCGAAGCCTATGAAAGAATTTGTTCCATGTTACAAATCATGACAAGTAAATCCCCTGTCACTGAATTAGAAACAACCCCGGTGAGTGCAGATGTAGAAAGGCCTGATCTTCATATTGTCTCACCATCCAACACTTCTTCAACACGATCCTCGCCATTGATACCGTCACTTTCTCCTCATAGCCCTACACCTACTATCAGAAAAAGACACTCAAGATCGTCCCTTCAATTTCCGGTATCAGACATGCCTTATGGTAATGAGGTTCACCGTAGAAGGCATTCAGGTAGATCTCCTTACGCTGCCAATCGACTCTCTGCCCCTGCTCTAGGCTCTATGTATCAAACTTACTTTTATCAACAGCAACAACAGCAACAATTACAGCAGTTGCAGCAACTTCAAAGTTATTCTCAGCCATCTTCGCCCATTATTAGTCAATTTGGTACAAATGATTACACTACATTTCCTACGACGCCACACCGTACAGCCTCATTGTCAAGAAAGACAGGTTTGCGACGTAGTGCTTCTTCTACAGGCGACTTTATGATCCCTCCTCAAAGGCCACGAGCACCCTCACGTCCTTATATGAACCCTCGTCGCCATACATTGACAAATGCAACACCTCCCGACTTATCCAATGAAATTGCTTCTTCTCCCTCCGTTGACACAACACGCAATCTATATGCAATGGCAGTCCGAAACAATCAATTCAATACCCAACCTTATATGATACCAATCACAAGCCACCATCAACATCAGCAAATGCAACAGCAACAGCAGCAACACCAACAATTATTACAGCAGCAGCAGCTACAACAAACCTTAATGCTAGATCCTGCTTCTTTTCCTATGGATCCTGTAATTCCTGACTCCCCCAATGATTCTATGATGAATTTGTTACTTAATCCTTGGGATTTTTCATCACAATAAGTAACAAAAAAAAAAGAAGAAAAAAGAAAGCCTTTATATGATATATGTTATGATAGAACTTACCATTCAATAAAAAAAAAAGAAAAAATAAGCATAAACAGAGAATTTCGTCATGTCTTCATTGTAAAACCATAGGCTATATCGATTGATACAGTTTCAGGCTAATCCTATCTTTTAAACAAAAAGAAAAATCCCTTGCCTTGGCAAAAAAAAGGGTATAAAAGAAAGAGCAGAGCGTCATTCTAACAAAGTTCTTTCTTTCCTTACTCAATAATATGAAGTTCTTTCAACTTGCTACTGCAGCCGTTACTTTCTTAACTGCCTTTGTTGGTGCTCAACAAAATGGCACCATGGATCAAGGCTCAAATGCATTCAACATGTCTTCTATTAATGGCACATGTAAGTTATATCTCTGATATATAATGATCAGCTTACTTATTTGATGATTAGGGCATGTTGCTGGTTTGACCAAGTCATTGTTGCATGACTTTTCTCTCTTGACTGAATACTACAACTTCAGCATCAAGTGTCCTCAAATTTACATTACTGGTAATTCTACCAATGTCTCTTACATTCAACCTTCTTTCAATTTGGAATGGTACAACGATACGCTTAAATCTAACCAAACTGCCAATGTCTCTTTCAGTGGACTCATGACACTTGAGAACGTTACTTCTGCAACACAAGCCAATTTCAGTGTTCTCATGGCCATCCCTTCTATGAACCAAAGCTATTCTACCAACAGCCTTGCAAGAATGTTGGCTGCCAATTCTCCTTACTCTTCTTCTTCCTCCTCTTCCTCCTCCTCCAAGAACTTTACTGCTGGTAATGTAACAAATCCCTTGCCTAATGGTCCCGACTTCTCTGCTATTTTCAGCTTCAATTTGACTTCTAGTAATGGTTCTGTTTATGATATTGCCTTGTTGACTGCTTCCAACTTTACAAATCTCAACGAAACTAATCAAAACAGTAGTCTTTATCGTCGTCAATTGGCTCCTAGCGCACCTCAAAACATGACTAATCAAGTCTATCGTGTCTTGCTTACCAACAACACTACTCCCTTGAATGAAACTGCCTTTAACTCAACTATTCAAGCCTATGGCGACACTGCTACTAATGTTACTTGGATTCAAGACACTTGCAACTCAACCCAATCTTCCTCTTCCTCTTCTTCTAGCACTCGTTCTTCCTCTTCTAGAACTCGCTCTGCTTCCGCCACTCAAACTAGTGGTACCTATGCCACACTTTTCTAATTCTATTAATAAAAACAACATTTGCTTGGCATAAAGCATTTCTCTGGATATGTTTAGCATGTCATGTTTAAGAAAAAAAAAAACTTGAGACATTTATTGCAAATGAGGACAATTTACATTTCCATCCAATACAAAATGATTCAATTGTTTGCATTGAATTTTCAAATAACCAAACATCAAATTGGTTCTCAAGACATCGCTCACTTTCTGTTCGCTCAAGTTACGCAAAAACAATTTGCTGCTGTCGACAAAAGAGCCTTGTTTACGTTGAGCAAAGTATTTTTGAGTCACAAAGGCTTCTTTAGTGGAAAGTTCTTGCATGAGAGGTAAATCACGGTTGTTATTTTGATAGCCTACATGTTGATGCCAACTCTTGGATTCGGCTTGCTCTATGTAAGCAATACGAATGTAACTAGATAGACCATGATAAAACATGGAAGCACTTGAATAATCGAGTCGGATACCATCTAATACAAGGCTTTCAAATGTATGATAAGGCATGTTTAAGATCACAGTGGTTTGAGAAACCATGTCGTTCATTTCGCATAGTTGCTTACATCTTGTGAGTGAAAACGTCTTGAGAGAAGGACAAGTGAGTGATAAGAAATCAAAAAAGTGAGGCACAAAAGCCATAAAAGTCATTTGGAGCACTTTTAAGCGATACCGCTTTTTGGAAAAGACAATAGGCACATAGAGCATACCCCATTCCAAAATAAGGGTTTCTAAAGTTGGACAATTATCTAACAAGTATTGTAGATCATACTCATTGTGATACGAGTCACATTTGATGTCAAGCGAAGAGAGGCATGCAAAGCGTTTGAGTAGATGTAATGTGTATGGTAGCTTTACATCAAATCGCCACTGTTCAATCTCCAAGCTTGTCATCAAATGACCTGTATGGTGTGCAATAAATTCGAGTTCTGTTTCGCTCTTGATGCGATTACCTTTTCGCAAAAGAGGTGTAATTTGTCGAATACAACGGTTGTTTTTGGCTATGTTCAAGAAAGATTCATTCAGCCAGTGATCAAGTATAGGACACGAGAGTGATAATTGTTCGATATAGCGGCATTTTTGAACCAAGTTTAAGAAGAAACTTTTTTCTAATTGGAAGTTGTCTGTACTATTCGTATAGTGAACATCCAGTTCCAAAGTTAGCAAGTTGGGGTATTTATGAGCAATATAGAACAACCAGAATGCTGGTGTATGACGTGTTTCCCAGTGCAAGTATTCCAGGTTAGCTACTATGGGATATGCTGCAATTTGGCTCAGTATTGCTTCATTGGAGTCCATGGGCATTTGTATATTGTTTCCAATGATATGGAACCGCCTTAATTTGGGTAGCAATGAATGTATTGTTTCTATATCTTGTAATGTCAAGCTAAGTGCGGGATCCATATCACTATCATTTATCGCTAATTCTTCAAGGTAAGGAGTCAATGAAAAGATCGACAATAGACGGTTTTGTGTCGACATATCGACAATAATGTTGCCTTGGATAGACACACTTGTTAATCCCTTTCCTAAACATTGTAATGACAGTAGTGCTTGATCTAAACTAGCCAAAGTGGGTATCTTATGCATATACTTCCATCGTGCAATATCGTTATGGCCAGTGATTGATTTCCAAGAATCAGGATCAATTTCCAGACTCTCTAAATAAGGACATAATGCTACAAGCGATTCAAAACACAAGCGTGGGATAATCGACTCCAATTGTCTCTTTTGAAGACAAGAAAATGGTTTTGCTTTCCTGACAACAAGATGCTTTACCAAGTGTCCATTAGGCAGTTTCTGTTGCGATGATCTGAGTGATTCACACAGACAATGAAATTGATAAAGGCTTTTTAGAGTGATTTTATAGTAAAGTGCATGTCGAAATACTTCAAACCAATCCTGACAAATAGTCAAGCCAATTCTTGTATCATGAGGCGTCAAATGAGACACAATATGCAGAAGTATTTCAGTGGGTATTATCTTTGTTACGTTCATAAGGAGTGAGAAAGGAAACGTTTTGTTTTTTTTTGTTTTTGCATAAAAATGTACGCCCTCAAAACGTCGTCATGTGAAATTTCCAAAAATGAGTGCCTGGAGTTGAATTTTGGTTTGTTTTCTTTGTCTAGTATGAAAGTCAATGTAGTCTCTTGGAATATGGGTGCTGAATGGTCTTGGAAAGTCAAGGAAGACGACGACATTTGTGGTATCTGCCATTCAGAATATGATGGTTGTTGTCCTACCTGTAAGACTCCCGGTGATGATTGTCCTTTGATCTGGGGAAAGTGTACTCATGTCTTTCATCTCCATTGTATCATGACCTGGTTTAAAAACTCAACTCATGGCGAGATCTGTCCTATGGATCGTACGCAATGGCAAACAGCGCAAGCACAAGTCTAATTCTGAACTTTATACCCATCTTTATTTGTTAACTAGATTTAAAAAAAAAAGGAGAATGGCGACCATGAAAAATCATTATTAGACTTACTTTCTTTGGATGTAAGCTGTTGTCTCATTAAAAAAAATTAGTCCGCTTCTTTTCTCTTCATCATTTGTATAATAAACATCGAAGCTTGTTATGATAGTGCTTCCAGCAAACAGCATTATAGTTTCTCAAGATGGAGTTTACAACGTACTGACAAATAGCAAATAACACAGAATGAACTATTTCAAAAAGTAGGTAACAGACGGAAATCAGTTTGAATGATATTGTTTTTGAGACCTGTAATTAAGTTGTGGAACACAAATGCTTTCATGTCAAAGTCATTTTTAATAAATCAAGAAAAATTACTACTTAAAGATTATAACGAGAAATTTTGTGTATAGAAGTATCATATTAATGAATTAAAGAACAACGTTGCGAGTTATGCTTTTTGCTTGTTTGAATAACTACAAAAATATTTCTAAAATCATTATCGATCACTTGCCATTCGACAGTAAAACCGAAATTCATAAAACACAGTTTGGACCACTGTACATAAAGCGACTGTCTTCTTGTTCCTAGATAAACTTTTTCTTAGACAGTATGAAGGGGTTTAAAGCTTGTTTGTATACACATAAATGCTCTAAATACCTACAAAAAGTGCCTACTAACACTCACGACACCTTTGGAGTCGATTCGGACAAAAGAAAAAAGCGACATGTAAAACTTGGTCGCAATATGCCTTTCGACCAAAGGGCACTACGCATGAAGATCATCGATTTGGCAACTCTCAATCTTCTTCTTGATGCTACATGACAAAGAATGAAGCTATTGACAAGCTTAAACACTCAAAATGTGCATCAGAGGCTATATTTTCTGGTGAATGTGTTTACTTAACAATTGTACTATGAAAATGATGAGATATAAATAAAAAAAAACCCTCTTAAACATCTTCACCTATTTACTCAATAATTTAGTAGAAAAGTTGCTGTATTATCTGTATTAGCAGACTTTGAAAACAAAAATCTACTACACCAAAGCCAAATAATCGCGCTTTTATGCAGTTCTTAGCAAAAGCTTAATTTTTTATGCACACCGCCCTTCTGTATATCCTATATCCATTTACTATACATTCACATTCTAAATTATCCTTGTTTTTGTTTTCATATGTTCCTTAACACTCTAGATAGCATATGAAATTTTTTTATAAGTCTATTGCTAGTAAGTTCTATATGTCGTCTAGAGCAAGAATCAAAACACAGCTTAAATGCAACATTGTTTGATGTCCCATTGCTCGACAACTACATTATCAAAACAATCTATTTTTTGTTTTAAACATGTTCTTTCGAGTCCGAGAATCGAACAGTATCAATGGCTTGGCTGTAGGGTGGAATTTATTTTTTTTTGACTCGTGGAGATCCACAAGAAGTTCGTGAAGATGGAATGACCCCAATGTAGATCTGATCCAACCGAAATGAGGAGAGGCCATGTCTAGTTACTTTTAAGGAAAAGAAAACAGGTTTTTCAAGATGAAAAAGTCGACTCAATATGAGTATTGCCTTCAAATCTGCATTTAAAGCTCATTGTACACTGTGAATGGTAGAAAAGACGCCTTTCTCAGTAGTTATCAATTAGTGAGTACTTATTTATACACAATCCAATGCACAAAATATGTATGAGTAAGTTTTGCTACAACATTTGAGAATTTTGAAGTCAAAAAGAGCAATTTTAAACATGTAGACAATGGGTATCTTAATTTCCAAAGGTACAAAGCAATTCTTTTGGTTTCTTTGTAAATTTTTTTTTAATGAAATAATAGCTAAAGAGCATTTATTGTATTTCATGGCTTTTATTAGTTTGTTTATTTCGCTTGACTGAAAAAGTGGTATCAAATATAGACTTGTCAAAAGATTTTCTTGAAAAGAGAGAGAACGTTTGTGCATTTAATGTGAGACAGCAATATGCTTAGAACGTTAGTCGCATGATGATATTGGCTCGAGCGTATGCAGAATGAGGCCCAAGATGGGTAGTTTCAAAACCATATTTTTTGTACAAAACAATAGCATTTTCCAAAACCGTATTTGACATGAGTTCGACAAAGGGGTATTTTTTGCTTCTTGCCCATTCAATAGATTCACGCATCAAAATATGAGCATACCCTTTGCCAGTATATTCTTTTCTAACCGTCATTTTTGCCAATTCACATATCCCCTCATGAAGAACTATAGCTACCACACCAGCAACTCTACCTGTACTCTCTAATAAAAAGAAGATTTCACCTCCTGGCTTGATGATAGCTTCTTCTGGTGTTTCCAGCTGTCTGATATCTTCTTCTTCTACCACAAAATGTTCTTTGACCCATGCAAGACTAAGATCCTTAAATTCAGATTTGAATTGATCGTCCCATGTGGTTACATAGAGAGTGTCTTTCACTGTTTTTTTATCTAAATCAACTTGATGGTATATGGCGACACAATGACTAGGAACTCTATTATGCGTTGGTTTTTGATAACTTGAAGCCCAAGTGTGTTGTGCTATAAATTCTTCCCAATTTACTATCTGACTACGTGCCATAGCATATTCTTTCAAACTGATAACCATTTTTTAAACAAAAACAAGAGAGTAAAGAAAGAATCCCACCATTTGTGTTTTCTTTTATAATGAAGCTTGATCCGATTCGACGGATTTCCTGAAAGTGTAAATCATTTGGAGTCATTTTACGACCAATGGAATTTGATAGCAAAAAAAAATAAACAAAATAATTACTAATCCGTGAATCTGCTTCCGTATTTTCGGATTTAATAAATCAAGAGATAACAACAATGAAATGAAACCCACCTTTGCTAAGCTTGAAAAGGCACTTCTGACTGCTCAATACTCGTTGCATTTGTCGTAAACTATTCGTAGATCTTGTGGTTAAATCAAGTTGATATCATTCAAGTTGTTTATTATGTACATGTATCGCATTTTTTTATTTTTTTTTGCTCAAAATAGCTTGTGCTTGTGGGGTGAATAAACCACGACCAGATAATAGATCAACCAAAGGACGGTGTTCCATCCACCAAGAATCTAATGGCTTGCGGTTCTTCATATCACTAACAGCAATTAATTCTGTCACTGGACGATAAGTTACACCGACACCTGAAAGGCCAACAACCGCAGCAGATTCATGCATCCGAGAAAGTTCAATAGGCACGTCTTGTTTGCTACAATAAGCCTCTTCAAGAGCAGCAGAGGTATGATCTTCAAAGAAATCTATAGCACATTTAGAAAGACGAGTAGCTCTAATACGATCCATAGGACTAGGATTGACACCTTGTTGAATATGACCCAGAACGGCTGTACGTGAATCAAACAAAGCATGACCTTCTTCCTTCAAGATATCAGAGATGACATTGGTAGTATATGTTTTGCTGACTGTTTCATTTCGTAAAATAATTCTGCCTTCAGATTTATCAGCATCATCATCCATATACATGGCCATGAGGTGGCGAGAATCTGATTGAAGACGAGCAAGATTGACACCTTCTTCTGGAATATAGATGGTATTTGCTCCACTGGCTAAACCAGCTTCAACAGCCAAATAGCCAGAGCGTCCACCTTGTACTTCAATCACAAAAACACGGCGACGTGATGATCGAGCAGATTGAACAATAGCATCGCATGAATTAACAATAGCATTTAACGCAGTATCGGAGCCAAGAGAAAAATCAGTACCAGGTACATTGTTGGAAACAGTAGCTGGAATCAAAGCAATTGGAATGTTGAGCGAGGGATATTGTTTACGAGCAGCTTCCAAGTTGATAGCAGAGGAAAAGGCTTCAAAACCACCAATGATAAGAAGGGATTGGATCTGGAACTTTTGAAGTTGATAAGCAACCATCCCCATATCCACTCCTTCACCAGGAACAGCACGGTTTGTGCCTAATTCAGAGCCACCCTTAGGCGTCCATCCATCGACACCAATCCAGCTTAGTTCTTCAACAGAGCCGCTAGCTAAGCCAGGGAAGCCATTCAAGATAGCAAATGGCGTATGGCCACGATTCAATGCGTAACGAACTGCCGTACGAGTAGCTGCATTCATACCACCAGCAGGAGCACCCACGTGAATGATACCAACACGAAGTCGACGATGTTTAGGTACCAACATACTCTGATCATCCAAAATAGTAGTTGCAGTATAAGCAACAAATTCATCAGCAAATTGAGGGTCACGAAGTTCCATAGCACGGGCAAAGTTCTTTTCTGATATGGCTTTAGCTACTTCATGTGTCAATTCCACAGCCTTCATCAATGGTTGACAAGTCACTTGATTGCTGCTCATGCCAATCAAAGGAGAGGGCGTTTCGGGAGTAGAAGACAAAACAGCATCAACTGCAGCTACACTTTGAATAGTTGCTAAAATACGATCAAAAGAGCAAGGTGATCCACCACGTTGAGTATGGCCCAAGGTAGTTACTCGCGTATCAAGGCCAAGACGGTCAGCAAGTATAGCTTTAATATCGTCAGGTCGGATGGGATTCAGATTCATATCAATGGCACCTTCAGCAACAATGACGACTGTCTTACGCTTGCCAAGCTGACGATGGCGTTGTGCAACAGCACACAGTGTGTCTTGCCAGTTCTCTTCACTAGGAGGTCTTTCAGGAATAAACACAAAATCAGCACCTGTAGCGATACCAGCTGCAAGAGCCAGCCAACCACAATGGCGACCCATTACTTCAATCACAAATGCACGAGAATGAGATAATGCAGTTGTACCAATAGAGTCAACAGCTTCACAAATACGATGAAGAGAAGTGACAGCGCCAATGGTAATATCAGTGGAAGACATATCATTATCAATTGAACCAACAAGACCCACGATGGTCAAATGGTTGTATGTCTTGGCTTCTTCTTCAGTGATTCTGCCGTCTTTTAAAAGTTCTTCAGTTAAACCATTCCATTCTGAACGGAAAACGTCAGCACCAGTCAATGAGCCATCACCACCGCATACAATCAATGCGTCAATACCACTCTTGATCAAATTCTCAGCTGCCTTGAGTCGACCTTTACGTTCCTTGAATGCCATACATCTTGCTGTACCAATGTTTGTACCACCCTATTGATAGTTACAATGAGTTCATATGAGCTTATCTAATCAATCAATATCTTTTTCTTTGTCTTACCACTGCTAAGAAGCCTCGAGCGTCTTTCCAGTCCATTTTTTTTATACCATTATCAACAAGACCTGATTAAATGTAAGATAATCGTTGATCTAGAAAGAAAATACCTTGATATCCCTCATAAACAGCATATACTTCGCAACCTTTAGAGATACCATATCGGACAACACCACGTACAGCAGCATTCATGCCCGGTGCATCCCCACCTGATGTAAGCACACCAATTCGCTTAGGTCTTCCCATCTTATCAGTCACTTGTTCCTCGACTTTTTCAGTAAAGGCTGAATCCAAAAGAGGAGATTCAAAAAGACTTGGAAAAGCAGGTTTGTTTGCGAAAATGACCGTGTTATTCAAAGGATCCAAGGTATACAATTCAATTAGTTCAAATGTCCCACTAAACGATTTGATAGATCTGTCTTGATAAGGACGGCCCAATGTATCCAGTTGTGCTTTGACGGCCTAAAAAAAAGCATGTCAAGATGATTTTGCTATCGATAAATATTTCTTACGTCAACATCAACAATGGACAATGCTAATGCGGATTCATTCAAACCCCAGTCTTGATCGCTACTAGGCTTAGGACGAGGCGTAGAACGGGCGTTCAAGACAAGCCGAACAATAATATCAGTTGTCATTGCATGTGCATCAGCAGATAATTTAAGCCATGTTTCTTTTTCTTCCCCTTCTTGTTTCTTTGCCTGACTTGGGGCATTTACAAGTTTGAAACCAAATGCTTTGTAAAATACAAGCGTGTTTTGAAAAAGTTCTTCTGAACTAGCGATAAAGACAATATGAGAGAGTCCCTTTACCATACTGAATTGTTGTGAGTCGAGTAATATACATAGTACATATTTACCTTTTAATTTTATTGTTTTTTAAGTAGAAAGAAAAGAACTTTTTATTTTGGTTCTCAAAGGTTTTAGAAGATTTTGGTGACTCCATTTGTTGCTCCGCTTGTACTTTTCAGCATGATTTTTGTAAATAAATTGTGGGCTGATACATGTATCATAGAGTATGACGCTTATCGATATACATTTATTCAAACACGGATTAATTCTTTATACAATAGTTTTATTTTTTGAGTTTTCTCTAAGAATATGTAATGCATCAATAATAGCAATGTAAGGCTGATGAAGTGGGGGTATTATTATCTATCCAAAATGACGAGAAAGTGTTTCCTATGAAAGAAATTATAAGCATACAAACACAAACAAAAGAAAAACTTACATAAGTAAGGAAAATGATAGCAGATGTAGGCGCACTACGGGCTACTGTGATGCCGCACCCTCTATAGAAAGCCTTGTATCCACCAGCAGTATACAATTCTTTAGCCGTTTGAATAAATGATCGTTGTTTGCTCGTAACGAGTTGCTCATCTGTTTGCATTTGAGATTTTATCACATCCACTGGGAAGAGAGAAAAGTTGTAAGCCATACCACCAAGCGCACCACCTAACATGAGTTCTGAAGGTGACAGGTCTTTCTTGGATACTTTTTCGTTTGTCTTTGATTCACGATATTTTATGAATTGAGCACAGGTGTATTCATATGTACCAAACCAGAACATACCACCACCTGTTTCTCTTAAAAGAGTGGCTAAAAATCCTCTATAAAAGCCCGAAACACCATGAGATTGTAATACATGGCGAATGACATGGAATGGTCCAGAAAACTGTACTCCTTGAATAGCTTGGCTGCCAATCTGGACCTGTAATTTGCATTTGATTAATTCCACAGGTGTCAATACAAATGAAGCAATGGCACCTGAAGCACCACCCGCTAAAACCAATTGATTGATCGATAAGGATGGTAAATCATCTTCAGCCATTGTTCGATATTTTTCTTTTTCTTCGGGTGTTGATGAATAGTCTCGAATGATTCTCTGTACTTGTTTATAGCCAACGAATAAAGCAGCATTTTCAACCATGGACCCTACTAGAGGAGAAGACATGCCCTAAATCTGGGGTTTAGTACTTGTAGAAAAAAATAAACTAAATTCTTACTGTAAATAAACCCTTGAGTCCTTCTTGTTTAATTGTAGTTTTAAAACAATCCCAAGGACCTGAAAAGTAAGGATGACTCAATGGTTGTGTTTGAAGTCGAACCTTAATGGTATCAAAAGGATATTCGACAAATTTGCCAATCATTCCAGCAACCTTGTTGTTATGTCAGCATACAAAATAAGATTATCAAGTTATTATTTTTTTTTACCGAGCCAAACAAAAGATCATCCAGTTGTTGACGAAGTGCAGATTTTTCGGTTTTTTGCTGTACAAATGCATTTTCCGTCTTTAGCAAGGGAGTCGCTACTTGTTGAGTATCCATGGTTGGCCGAAAATAAGGCAAGAAGAAGAAAAAAGAAGAAGAGGAGTAGAAAGATAAAAAATTTTACTGATGTATAAAAAACAAAAAAAAAGTTGAGTCATATTTAGTAACTTGCCCTATCTATAAACAAAACTCCTTGTCACACAAGAGATCGTTTTTTAAAGATAATCTATTGCCATAGATAAAGTTTACCAAATAACTGAAAAACTCTTACACATTACTTGAATTACTAAAAAAACACTGACACTATAAAAAAAGAAGAAGAATGAAGTTGCTACTAACCGTCATAAACAGAGAGATTGTATTGAAATTAACTTTGCTAGAGAATTATTGTTTGACTTGATTCAAAACAACCTATATACAGATTAACTTACACTTGCATTTACTTCCCTTCAATAAACAAATAGATGCTTAACTTAAGCTTTTGACACATTTTTTATTGGTAATGTTCTTAAAACTGGTTTTTGACTCGAGTAAAACAATCCTAAATTCCTTGCAAGACATTTTGATCTAGACTTTTCTGCTTATCAAAAATGGGAAATTTAAATTCAGGCTCAATGTTCGGCTCGAAAAGACTTGACAGGTTATTGTGACCATAGTTTCAATGGATAACGAAAAGTCTAGCATAGCACTTCCAGAAAGCAAAGTCGTAGCCAATAACTCGACAAAAGAAATTAGACAATATCTACAGAATGTGAAAAAAAAGGAAAATATCCGCAAAGTGTAAACGAATATATAATATCTTGGAAAAAGACCTTGAGAAGAGAATAATGATGAAAAAACTTTCCCTTTTTCTTCTTTTGTTTATTTTCTACAATACCTATCATCTCGAGAAAATAAGCAGCGTGTATGTTCCACAACTAAGCATATAGCGACTTTTATGTTTTTGAACTAACGAAAAGGATGGAGGAATGGAAGAAGTTGATCTATGTTATTTCGAGGAATCTATTGGACCTACCTTGGTTTCTCTCTTTTCTGTAAAAAAACTCATCCCTCAAAATATCAGCAATAACACTATCAAAGAATGAATGAATGAATGAATGAACTGATTAATTAAAGGAAACCCTTATGCATTCATATTATCATGATTAGTATTCAAAGCTTGCTGAAAAATAGTCTTCAAATACTGTCTTTGTAAATTGCTTCCTGTTTGACGTAAACTTATTAAGTCATTATGCCATTGCTATTTCTCCTGAAGAACAAAGAAAAATAAAACATTTTTCTTGTAAACAATAAACCAAAGCAAAGTGAAGATGTTCAGGTCTTAATGCTATGTTTGACATAAAAACTAGACTAAATAAAAAATAAAAAGGGCAATAAGCAAATAAATGATTGCATCATTTGACTTTCAACCCGAGTTATTCATTGAGTTGCTTAATCTTTAGGAAGTACTTGTTTGTCTCTTAACAGTAAACGATAAGTGTAAGAGAAGACTGAAATGTCTATTATATTGCTAGTATGAAAGACAAGCAATAAGGTTTGTTGTATGTGTACGCTGATGCATAAGAAAAAAAAAAAACGAATGGGTTATATTTGAAAGAATGGTGTTTATTTAACTAAAACGTATGCAGTCCATAATTCACTACGAAGTTTTCTAATGCTTTTACACTTTCATAAGCAAACATTCCATTTGTTGAAAGAGACCAAGTGCCTTTTCAATATAATATTTTGCAAAGATAAGCGATTTGGTATTACATAGTGTATCCTTTTACCAAGGACACCAAACAAATACATGGTTCAACAGCGAAGAAGACAGCAGCACATGCAAATCTTGTTCTTTTACCTGGACAACAGGAAGGCAGCATAAAGCTTGTTTGTATACGCATAAATGCTCTAAATACCTACAAAAAGTGCCTACTAACACTCACGACACCTTTGGAGTCGATTCGGACAAAAGAAAAAAGCGACATGTAAAACTTGGTCGCAATATGCCTTTCGACCAAAGGGCACTACGCATGAAGATCATCGATTTGGCAACTCTCAATCTTCTTCTTGATGCTACATGACAAAGAATGAAGCTATTGACAAGCTTAAACACTCAAAATGTGCATCAGAGGCTATATTTTCTGGTGGCTGTGTTTACTTAACAATTGTACTATGAAAATGATGAGATATAAATAAAAAAAAACCCTCTTAAACATCTTCACCTATTTACTCAATATTCAGCTAGCAGAACTTCTGTGTTTTCTACAGCAATAAACTCAGAAAGCATAAAAACCTAAAAAATGAATTTCGAATTATAAAAAATATAACACTTCAGTCTGGTTACGATGCCATCAAAAAGGAACTCATCTATACTCTATTAAAGAGCGCTATCAAAAAACAGCTGTTCAATCCAGTGATTGAATTACAATATAATAAGAAAAAGGAACGAGGAAGTTTGTGAGATTCAAAAAATGATTGTCCTTTATTCAGTTAATTGACGAGTTGTATATATAGACAAATAACTTGTAGTTAAGTCAGCAAATTAGTGGTGATGAGAATGATGTGATTTGGAAACACGAAATTGCAGGAGTGTTTGTATGTGACCATCATTATTTTAGATAATAAGTAGTTACTATATGAGTGTATGTGTTTACTTAGCCATTAGGCGCAATTGCATGTCTAACCTGTCAATTGTTCTACAACATCTGTATTTAAGATGTGTTGCAATTTAGGTTGCAATTTGTCTAAATCAGGAAGAGGAAGTATATGTTCTATGAGTAACATGTTCAATACGTATTTGTTGTTTAGCATATGTTTTGTAAAGATGGTTACAAGTGTAATGCGTATCTAAATATTGCATATCTATATTTGTATAGAACAAAAGGGCGGTTTTTACTGAGCACTGGTTTAAATATGCTCCTCATTTAAACGCTTTTCAGAAGCTCCATGGATACAGCACATTTAGAAGAAATGGCGCCCAAAATTGTATGAGGTACTGCTCTCGTAGAGGGAGTGGTTATAATAGCTGCTTTTCCTTTTTCAGCCCAACCACCCAGTGAGATTCAGCATGTCTGATCTAACCTTGACAATCAGCGACCGTGACTTGGCTGTAAGTTTCGACAATGCGATCCATTATGCTGTGCATTTATTTTAAACTCAATCTATCTTGTCCATTACCTTGTCCATTATGCTGTCCATTTATCTTAAACTCAATCTATCTTGTCCATTTATTTTACTCTTTTCTATTTTCTTTTCCCATTTTACTTTCCTACTACTAAGCTCAATTGTCTTGTCAATCTCATAGCAGCTATGGTACTAATCACACGTGAACAAGCCATTTGCATGTTCTACCATCAGCCATACAACAAGCAAAAAGCTGAAGAATTACTGAAAATGATTGAGAACATACACACTGAAATCTGCTACAAAGACGATCCTACGAAGCCATTTTTGTGTTCAACTAAAAGTATTAATGCTTTTGAATACCATCAGTATCCTTCTTTACTGAAAAAGGATATACATGTGAATGAATAACTCCAATTCACTTGGTTTTATTTTAGTGCCTAATAGCATAAAATCAATTTTTTGTTTTGTTTTGAAAATTATTTTAATGATCTTTGAAATAAGGTATTGCTTCTACAATTAAACTCTTGAAGCTTGCTTTCATTGTTTAAAAGCTCATCCGGGTTATAAACATGTATTGAATTAGTGTGCGGGAGTTTGTCGATAATTAGCTTGGCGATATTTGGGCTGTTCCTGATACGAATAGTTAGTAATGTGCTAATGTTATTTTTTTTTGTTTTTATTATGTAAATACGAATACATGAAGTATTGAAATTATTACACGAGAGCGAAGTGATCTTTGTTGTTTCTGCCCCCCTCTTCCCGTGTCTTTCTTCAATTAAATATTTCTCACCAAAGAAGATAAAGATACATAGTTTAGTTTTATTTTATTTTATATATATTTTAAGTAGTACAAGTTCGAATTTAACCAATAAAAGAAAGATAACAACAAAGATCACAAGGCTCGAAGTGTAATGAGCTTTTACCTTAAGAATTGCTTCAAATCTTCACAATTCGTTGTCAATCCTGCAAAGTCAATCACTACAATGCATATCTTCTCTTTTGTACGAATATATGCCAACAAATCTAATAAGTGAATTGAAATTTAATATGGTTATAGTAAGTAATAAAAGATCTCCTTTTCCTCACCTTGCATGTCTCCATCTGCAGTAATTTTCGACAGTATAACGGTATTTTTTTTTCAAGTCTCTGGCAAGTAAGGGTTGACTTGCGTCACAGGAAACGCTCGCGAATACTTTTGTCACAAGTGGTCTTTCTTTGATATTTGCGCTCATTTGATTCAAAAGACGAATGCATGTATTATCGTCTTTTTCGCCAGTTGACTTTCTTATATATCCAATTATTTCGTGTCCATTTTCTTTTAGGTTTCTGATACTTTCATAATGTCGAGGTAATGTTTCAACATCATCTTTAATGATAGTCTAAAAAATAGATTAATTACAGAAATGATAACACTTTCCGTATATTATATCTTACTGATGTAGTAATCCTTTACTACATACAGAATACGAGTTGTAATTTTGCGGTTGAATTCATCTTAAGCACATTAGCGATACCAAGGAGCGATTCTTCTACTTAGTCTATGAGAAAGGCCTGACGCCTGGTAAAGCAGCCACGCAGTTTGATATCGCTCGGCATACTGCTTACAACTGGTTTGAGAAATATCAGAAGGAGCAAAGTGATGGAGAAAATCAAAGCTAAGACAGGTCGGCCAAGCAATTTCAACATACGATCCTTTGCCAGAAGTTTTTGTTGCCAGAATTTTTTTTGTTCCTCTCGCTTTATTGCTTCGCGCTCAAGATGCTTTAGATCTAAGTGTTGATCGAAGTTGGTGACGTTGTCCAAAGGATATTGTCCTTTCTAACCTTAAAATATTACACTATTTCCCGAAACTATTGACACACTTTTTTTTTTGTGATTTAGCACACTTTTAATGTTAAATTCAGCACTTCAAGTTTTGTCACTTTTTTTTGAAAAAGTTGAAATGAATATTCAAGTATACTATGAGAATGGAAGAGGCGATGTTGTTGATGAGTTTGGAAACGAGCCTATTGAAATGGAGGTCGATGAAGGACAATATCCTTTGGACAACGTCACCAACTTCGATCAACACTTAGATCTAAAGCATCTTGAGCGCGAAGCAATAAAGCGAGAGGAACAAAAAAAATTCTGGCAACAAAAACTTCTGGCAAAGGATCGTATGTTGAAATTGCTTGGCCGACCTGTCTTAGCTTTGATTTTCTCCATCACTTTGCTCCTTCTGATATTTCTCAAACCAGTTGTAAGCAGTATGCCGAGCGATATCAAACTGCGTGGCTGCTTTACCAGGCGTCAGGCCTTTCTCATAGACTAAGTAGAAGAATCGCTCCTTGGTATCGCTAATGTGCTTAAGATGAATTCAACCGCAAAATTACAACTCGTATTCTGTATGTAGTAAAGGATTACTACATCAGTAAGATATAATATACGGAAAGTGTTATCATTTCTGTAATTAATCTATTTTTTAGACTATCATTAAAGATGATGTTGAAACATTACCTCGACATTATGAAAGTATCAGAAACCTAAAAGAAAATGGACACGAAATAATTGGATATATAAGAAAGTCAACTGGCGAAAAAGACGATAATACATGCATTCGTCTTTTGAATCAAATGAGCGCAAATATCAAAGAAAGACCACTTGTGACAAAAGTATTCGCGAGCGTTTCCTGTGACGCAAGTCAACCCTTACTTGCCAGAGACTTGAAAAAAAAATACCGTTATACTGTCGAAAATTACTGCAGATGGAGACATGCAAGGTGAGGAAAAGGAGATCTTTTATTACTTACTATAACCATATTAAATTTCAATTCACTTATTAGATTTGTTGGCATATATTCGTACAAAAGAGAAGATATGCATTGTAGTGATTGACTTTGCAGGATTGACAACGAATTGTGAAGATTTGAAGCAATTCTTAAGGTAAAAGCTCATTACACTTCGAGCCTTGTGATCTTTGTTGTTATCTTTCTTTTATTGGTTAAATTCGAACTTGTACTACTTAAAATATATATAAAATAAAATAAAACTAAACTATGTATCTTTATCTTCTTTGGTGAGAAATATTTAATTGAAGAAAGACACGGGAAGAGGGGGGCAGAAACAACAAAGATCACTTCGCTCTCGTGTAATAATTTCAATACTTCATGTATTCGTATTTACATAATAAAAACAAAAAAAAATAACATTAGCACATTACTAACTATTCGTATCAGGAACAGCCCAAATATCGCCAAGCTAATTATCGACAAACTCCCGCACACTAATTCAATACATGTTTATAACCCGGATGAGCTTTTAAACAATGAAAGCAAGCTTCAAGAGTTTAATTGTAGAAGCAATACCTTATTTCAAAGATCATTAAAATAATTTTCAAAACAAAACAAAAAATTGATTTTATGCTATTAGGCACTAAAATAAAACCAAGTGAATTGGAGTTATTCATTCACATGTATATCCTTTTTCAGTAAAGAAGGATACTGATGGTATTCAAAAGCATTAATACTTTTAGTTGAACACAAAAATGGCTTCGTAGGATCGTCTTTGTAGCAGATTTCAGTGTGTATGTTCTCAATCATTTTCAGTAATTCTTCAGCTTTTTGCTTGTTGTATGGCTGATGGTAGAACATGCAAATGGCTTGTTCACGTGTGATTAGTACCATAGCTGCTATGAGATTGACAAGACAATTGAGCTTAGTAGTAGGAAAGTAAAATGGGAAAAGAAAATAGAAAAGAGTAAAATAAATGGACAAGATAGATTGAGTTTAAGATAAATGGACAGCATAATGGACAAGGTAATGGACAAGATAGATTGAGTTTAAAATAAATGCACAGCATAATGGATCGCATTGTCGAAACTTACAGCCAAGTCACGGTCGCTGATTGTCAAGGTTAGATCAGACATGCTGAATCTCACTGGGTGGTTGGGCTGAAAAAGGAAAAGCAGCTATTATAACCACTCCCTCTACGAGAGCAGTACCTCATACAATTTTGGGCGCCATTTCTTCTAAATGTGCTGTATCCATGGAGCTTCTGAAAAGCGTTTAAATGAGGAGCATATTTAAACCAGTGCTCAGTAAAAACCGCCCTTTTGTTCTATACAAATATAGATATGCAATATTTAGATACGCATTACACTTGTAACCATCTTTACAAAACATATGCTAAACAACAAATACGTATTGAACATGTTACTCATAGAACATATACTTCCTCTTCCTGATTTAGACAAATTGCAACCTAAATTGCAACACATCTTAAATACAGATGTTGTAGAACAATTGACAGGTTAGACATGCAATTGCGCCTAATGGCTAAGTAAACACATACACTCATATAGTAACTACTTATTATCTAAAATAATGATGGTCACATACAAACACTCCTGCAATTTCGTGTTTCCAAATCACATCATTCTCATCACCACTAATTTGCTGACTTAACTACAAGTTATTTGTCTATATATACAACTCGTCAATTAACTGAATAAAGGACAATCATTTTTTGAATCTCACAAACTTCCTCGTTCCTTTTTCTTATTATATTGTAATTCAATCACTGGATTGAACAGCTGTTTTTTGATAGCGCTCTTTAATAGAGTATAGATGAGTTCCTTTTTGATGGCATCGTAACCAGACTGAAGTGTTATATTTTTTATAATTCGAAATTCATTTTTTAGGTTTTTATGCTTTCTGAGTTTATTGCTGTAGAAAACACAGAAGTTCTGCTAGCTGAATATTGAGTAAATAGGTGAAGATGTTTAAGAGGGTTTTTTTTTATTTATATCTCATCATTTTCATAGTACAATTGTTAAGTAAACACAGCCACCAGAAAATATAGCCTCTGATGCACATTTTGAGTGTTTAAGCTTGTCAATAGCTTCATTCTTTGTCATGTAGCATCAAGAAGAAGATTGAGAGTTGCCAAATCGATGATCTTCATGCGTAGTGCCCTTTGGTCGAAAGGCATATTGCGACCAAGTTTTACATGTCGCTTTTTTCTTTTGTCCGAATCGACTCCAAAGGTGTCGTGAGTGTTAGTAGGCACTTTTTGTAGGTATTTAGAGCATTTATGCGTATACAAACAAGCTTTATGCTGCCTTCCTGTTGTCCAGGTAAAAGAACAAGATTTGCATGTGCTGCTGTCTTCTTCGCTGTTGAACCATGTATTTGTTTGGTGTCCTTGGTAAAAGGATAAATAGTAAGCTACAAAATTGTTCCTCTACATAGAATGCCTTATAAAAAATATACTCGATCTCTCTAAATCAAAGAAAGCAGATGTTCACTCATGAAGAATGTCAAATTGTCAAGAAACTTTATCATATGAATTTAATATTATATACATTATTATATTTTAACTTCTTTAATATACTGATGCACTTTCTATTGTAATGAAAATACATCTGTATCAAAAGATACAATGTCGTTTGCACGGCTTGATGAAATCAACGACATATATGTTTGAAAAAAGCTTTGATCATCCATATACATTCATACACCGAATTCAGAGCATTTCTTTCTGTTTTTTAATGCCTTTTGGACTACTTCTTTGGCTGATATCTCTAGTTTGACTATCATGTCTACTGAAAATAATACAATGCATCATCTTGAGCCATTTTAAGTATCAACTATCTCATTGGCCTACTGCATATTGTAATTCTCAATTGGATTGACTAGTAAATGCCATCTTAATGATGCATACCAAGTCTTCAACACTTTCTAACCCTAAAGCTCTGTATTTGAGGCTGACTTGTTTATTTTTTAATGATGTGTAAGTAATTTCATTTATTAGGAAGAGGCAATTATTTTGAAGAAGAGGTTTGAAAAAGATTCACCAAATACAAAATAGAGCCAGAAATAGAACCAGAAGAGTAAAGCCATAGAAAGAGAGCCTTGATTAACCAGGAAACAAGTAACTAGAATGATGATTTAAAAAAAAAGCTTTCAAGCATATATAACTTACCAAAAGACCAAAGCCATCATGCTACCCTCTAATGTGCTGATTTTCATAGCCCACGCGGCTCTGCGTAGTTCAGAGCCGAATGAACCGGCCCAAACTGGCCCTGCGTAGTTCAGGGCCGAATGGATGCCATCGCCGACAAGAAGAGGGCATTTGGAACATCACTGTACGGAAACAAGTGGTTCCCTATAAGAGAGTCAGTAAACGTGTCTTTTAGAATAATTATCCTACCTCCTTGATGGATGAGAAGAGGCTAGTAGATTTGCATACGAGGCCAAGAGTAGTAGAAGAGTAAAGTAAGGTAAAGTAGGTCTTGTAGTAAAGTAGAAGTGGTCCTGAGGCCTTGAGGTAGCGTAGCTTTTGATTGAAAGAGTAGAGTAGATGATAAGGAAGAAAGAAAAGAAAAAAGACAAGGCTAGATCCTTCTTTTTTATAGATGTTGTTTGCTCTTTTTTACGTTAAAGCAAGACATGTGAAAGAGATGAAGATAACCACCTTATTTCCAAATCTGACACTTTTGTCTGTATAAACCAATTAACAAAAAAAAAAAGGGAGATGGATTAAAAGGGGTTATAATCATATTGACGTCATTGTTTATATTGATAAAATACAACTCAAGTATGTCCTCTATACTTTTATACGTCTTTTTTTTTATTCTTCAAAAGGACATGATCTATTTCTTTATTCTATGTGGAGAAGACAATAAGAGAGAAACAAAAATAGTCTCCAAGAGGGCATTAATTATCATAAAGGAGTAGACAATACGATGTGAAACACTGTTCAATTGCATAATACAAAACAAAACAATAAATTCCCTTCTAATCTAAGAAAAGTACACATTTAATCAGTTTTTTTTTTATTTGTCATTTTGATAAACAAAGGAAAATTAGCTTCAATAAAACAAAGTATATTGATTTTTGCTATATGTGTACGAAATAAGTTTTTTCATCCCCTGAAAGCCAATGTTATCAAAGTAAGAAAGCTTTATTATTTCAAATAGAAGGAGGGAGAAGGGAGTATTTAAAGCTTAAAGTTCTCTGTTCTCTGTCATTTCATATTATGGGCTTTCTCAAGACAGAAGTATACTCAATACATCAAATAAAACAGTATGTTATTTAAAGGGCTTTATGCTTTTCTTTTTTACGTTAACAAGTTTCAGTTGAAAGACTTTTATTTATTAATTTCTTGTAGGTCTTCTACGACCGCCAACCTTAGCGCCCACTACATTGACTTTTTCTCCACCACCTCTTTTGCGAAGTGATTTCTTGGCAGACTTTTTATTAGGTGGATCGATTACTTGATCTTGTTCTTCTTGTTCTTCCTGTTCTTCGTCTTCTTCGATTTCTACTTGTTCATCCTTTTTGTTCAACATTTTATAAATCAAACGCTTAGGCCAAGCAAAAATAAACAAATCCTTGACAGTAGGCTTTGTAACCCATTTTGTATTCAAATGAACAGGTTCTCCTGTACGTTCATCAGGATAGACCACAATATAGTTATCTCCCTTCACTTCACAACGCATATTTCTCTGTCCAATTTCAATAAAAGTGCGTCCTAAAGTAGGAGCACGACCTTTAGGTGCATCTTGAATCATTTGTGCTCTAGCATCGTTCACAAATTGAGTAATCTTGCGCTTTTCTTGTCGATAGTTGATTTGTCCTGCAATATACTGCATACCTGCAGCAATTAACAAGACCACCACAGCAACAGAGCCTACACCTGGTCTGAATCGGCTGTACAAGTAGCCAGTACCGCGCCAGCGAGGTACACCATTTTTGTAAAAGAAATTGTAACGTTCACGGCTAGTAGGGTCACGTAAAATAGAAACAATGACACCAAGACGAGTGAACCTTTCTTTGGCCTTGGGATCGTTCTTGTTCTTGTCAGGACTATCAAAAACAAAATAAGCTATTCATCTCATGACATCAAATACTTTACTGCCATTTTAAAGAAAGTTTACGGTAGGCCTTGCTAATATCAGCTTGGCTTGCTGAAGGCTAATCAACATCATGAATAACTTGAGCATATACATAGAAATAGATGAACTTACAGAAACACCCAACCAGCTATAAAAGTTAGTATCTTTTCCTTCTGCCTTTTCCAAAGCATCAACAAGGTCAAAGATCTCAAAATCAGCTATAAAAAAGTTTAGATGAAACGAGGAACGCGTTGACATTATCTACCTTCTGTCCAAGCTTTGACTTGAGGTATCATGGTTGAAAAAATAACCATGGCGATCAAAAGCATGCTCAAGATGCCTTGATTCTTCAAAAGGCCTAATCGTGCCATTGTTACCTTAGATGAAGAAAGTAAGAGAGAAAAAAAAACCCTTATTTATTCGGAATTTGAATGCATTTCAGGGGGAGAAGTTGATTTAATAGGCCTTTGTATGAACCACAGAAGGGCCAGATTCATTATAGTCTACTTTACTAATATAGTTCTTTGCATCAATAAAGACAAGCTTAGATATAAAAAGAAGCATTAGCACCCTTATTTAAGATCTCTTTAAAGCCCTACCTTAGCAACAATTTCAGCACCTAACCATGTAGAGTATTTTTGATATTGTTTATCTTTCAAGACAGTAAAATAGTCTGCAATTCGTAAAAAGTTCAATTGACGAGGTTGTGTATCACCAGCATTTTCAGAATGAGGCAAGAACACTTGTACTTCAGTCTTGATGCGCTTTGTAATACCAGCAGCCATGCAACATCCTCCAGTCACTGCCATGTTCTCCCAAAGTTTAGGTCTGATTTCTGGTGGTTCACAATTCATGGCTGCTAAACGCATAGCTTCTGTAAGTGATGGACTATCGACCTGTATTAATTCAGGCAAGAACAGAGGATCCATTGCCTTATGACGATAAGAGCCAATATGAAATGTATGTCCTTTATATTCAATCTGTACAGTCTCTGGCACATCACCAACCTCTTCGTCTTCTACTTTCTTGGGATTGTCTTCATCTAATAGTTCTTCTGAAGACTCAATAGGCAACTCTTCCATTGCATTGGATAGCTCAGTAGCCACTGAATGATCTGTCACATCATGGCCTATAGACACATTACAAATACCCACTGATTCACGCACAAATCTTGCAAATGCAAGGTCGAGTTCTACATCTGTTGCATTGAATTCTTGTACAAGTTTGGCGTCTTGCTTCATCAAATCAAGCAAGTACTTGTCAAAGTCATTGCCGCCCACGGGTACTGTAAAGTTCGATTGAGACTGAATGTTACTATCAACAACTACATTGATATCTGTGATCTCGCTTCCAATATCGACCACAATGCCAGATACAGCACCACATCCAAACAGTGTCAACAAAGGCTGAGGAGCAATATACACACCAGGCACATTAAAGTTTTCAAAGAAGATTTGTGTGATACGCTCATATTCAAGCTTGGACCATTGTACAGGCACTGCAATCAACACAGGACATTCATTGCGTGATTTCTTGATATTGAGTTCTTTAAACAAGATGTGATGCCAGCATTCTTCGAGATCTTTCCAATCACTAATCATGTTGTGTTTGATGGGATGATTGAAGTCGGCCATGTTTACAATCTATCTTGTCTGTTAAAATAGATTTTGATTGGTTTGGTCACTCACCACACTGGGAGGCTTGTTCGTGTCGTGCATACCCATACCAGCTGTAGTAAAATTAGAGCCTACATTAATAACGACAAAGTTCTCTTCTCGAAGTGCAATAGACATCGTTTTATTATATATATATAGAAAAGAAAAAACGCGTCTTTAAAAAGAATAAAAAAAATAGGCAGAAGCCACGCTTCATGTTTGACACGGTTAAATTAAAGCACCGAGTCATACTTCATATCGAGTTGTTTTCTCTCTCTCTCTCTCTCTCTCTCTCTCTCTCTCTCTCTCTCTTTTTCTTTTTCTTTCTTTTTTTTTTCAATCATCATGGCAGGGTCAAAGAAACGTACTCATATCGTAGATGGTCTTGTCAACTCACCCGATAAAGCTGAATTCATATCCTTTTTTTTTTCTGTGTCTGCTAACCTTGAGTCTAATTTGCTTATCCTTAACTCTTTCTGTTTACTGCTGTAAAGTAAAAATAGTGCAAGATAAAACAGTAGAAGGCTTCTTGGCTATTGTAGTACATGAAGAGAAAGAGGCTTGGTAAGGCTTACTTCTCTTTCTTTCTTTTTTTTTTTTGTAAAGATATTCTGATGGTTGATTTAGTCTAGTTTGTCTAAGAGAATCTGATGTGCCTGCTATGCCTCCAGTCATTCTAAAGATTGTACCTGTTTATTCTGACTTAAAAATAGATATTGGTAACTTACATGATGTTTTTTCTTTTTGGCTCGTATTAATTGCTTATTATGGAAAGCTCAATCCAATTTGAATGCAGAAACCCAGCCAGGTAACATAAAAAAAGAAAAAAAACCAAACTTTTTGTTTATGCATTATTCGATAGATTTACTTGTTACATTTACAGTCAAACAAGACTCAATCAGTGTCAGTTTTCCTAAAAAAGAAACCATGTCCGAGGTTTTAAGTGAAATCAAACGATTGAAATCCATAGCAGGTAAATAGAGAAAAGAATATTAAGCAAATGATGAACATCATTAGAAACACATTATTTGGATTCAACGAATGATCATTCTCATGAATGGACAAAAGCCTATTCCAAATTTGGCTGTAATGTATACACAAGCATCATGATTCTATACTGACATCAACATAGTGGACCATCAACATAAGAAAGCTGTGCGATCTAATTCCTTACCTATCACAGACGATTTAAACAACCCGGCCAGTTCAATTCGTTATGTATTACCGCTACAACGAGCAGAGACGATAGCCAAGATTAATTTGAAACGAACACGTACAGTCAATGCACCTAAAGAAAAAAAAATTACGTTTGAAAAAGCAAAAGATCATTGGATTAATGCTCAATTGATGAAGCGAGAAGATGAGTTTGTTCAGTGGCAAAAAGCAACTGCCTTTGTGGGTACATGGAATGTACATGGTAGTTTGCCTACTACTTCATTAAAGAATTGGTTGCAAGGCACACTTAAAACAGACAATGGACAGACAATCAAAGATCCAGACTTCTATGTGATTGGGTAAAGTAGACAGGACTCGATATGATATTGACACTACTCTAGTCTTCAAGAGATGGAAACCAACACAGAAGCTTATATTCGATATGACCCTACAAAAGAAAACGCCTGGGTCAAAGCCATTATTGACTCTTTAGCAGACAATGGCAAAGAGTACTATAAAGTAGAGTCAAAACAATTAGTAACTATGCTGTTGATTGTGATTGCCAAAAAGAGTCACAAGTCTTTTATTTCAGAAGTATCCAGTACTTATGCAGGTGTTGGTTTGATGAATATGATGGTAAGTGAACGATACATATTGTCGACTTATTGACCTAGCTTATAGGGAAACAAAGGTGGTATTGCTGTGAGACTTCGTTTTCATGATAGCTATATGTGTTTTGTGACAAGCCATCTTGCTGCATTCACTGACAAGACAGAAAAAAGAAATCAAGATTTTACTGAACTATCAAAGCGACTTGTCTTTCCTCAATATCATGATCCTTTAACAGACTATATCTCTTATTCTTGGAATGATGGTGGTGATGAAGGTGTTTCCTTTTTAGAAAACAACAATGTAATACGAGATTGGTCAACTGAAGCCTCTATTTTTCATAATGAGTAAGTTGGCCAAACACATCTGTTTATTCATTCTGTATAGCCTTCTTATTTGGTGTGGTGATTTGAACTATCGTGTTAATCTGAGTGAAGCCATTATCAAAAATTGGCTTAGACAAGATCGCTTGGATGTATTGCTTGAATACGATCAATTGTCTATTGAACGTAGTGCTGGTAGAACATTTACCATGTTTGAAGAGGGGCCTATTATATTTCCGCCCACTTACAAATACGATGCAGGCACAAATCAATACGACACAAGGTAACAACCATGGAGATGCATGACAGAGTTTATAATACATCCATTAGTGAGAAACGAAGAGCTCCTTCTTGGACAGACCGTATTTTATGGAAAAAGGAAAGAAGTGATGTATCCAAACACCCTCTTCAACTTCTTAGCTACACGCATTGTATGGAGATGATGATGAGTGATCATAAACCTATTCGTGCACTGTTTGGATTTCAAATTCGTAAAATTGACAGCCGTCAACAAAAACAAACAGAGCAACAGCTGGTACAACAGCTGAAAGAGAATCAAGATGTTCAACCAAGAGGCGAAATTTCTTCTTCTTATGTTGATTTTGAAAAGGTACAGTTTATGGAATACAAGGAGAAGAACATTGTGCTGGAGAACACAGGCCAAGTTGTGACCGTGTTCAAGTTCTTGCCTAAAGATGAAAGCGGTGTGATATTACCCGCATGGTTGCAAGTGACTCCATTGTCAGGTGTAGTGGCACCCGGTGAAAAGGTCGTCATTCGATTTGAGGTGACTGTCGATCCTACCATTTCTACACCCTTAAATCGTGGGGAAGAAAAGATGGATGAAATTCTGATTTTGAGATTAGAGAACAGCAAGGATTTCTTTATCTCTGTCTCGGGCGACTATGTGCCTACTTGTTTCGGTGTACCTTTGGAATTATTGTCTGGCATGGTTGTGCCTATTAGCGAGGCTGCAATGAACAACCTAAAGAGCACATCCTCAAAGAAAAACGATGCTTCTAGACCACCTTCTCCTCCTTCAACTTCGAACCAGATTGAGTTACCTAAAGAGTTATGGAAAATCATGAACTTTTTGTGGAATACAAACATGTTTCGTATTGTAAGTTGTGAATCAAGATATATAGTATTGATTGTACTTGATTTAGGAATCCTTGTTTTTAAGGCATGGGGATTTGATTGTTTCCACTTACATTCGAAAATGTCTTGATAATGGCGAACAATTTGACACAAATGTGTTATTAGGTGGAGAACCAGCAGAGCATGATGAACTCACTAGTGATGTTCAACATACTTTGTCTGATTTAACATTGACAGAAACGCCTAGTAAAGAGGCTATTAGTGCTAATTCAATGATTGATGTGTTGGTGGCCTTTTTAGAATGTTTGCCAGAACCTGTTATTTCAACTCATTTGTATGAGCGTGCTCTAGAAGCAGCTGAATCCACAGAAGCCATGAACAGCGTAAACAAAACAAACAAAACAAACAAACAAAACGCTTCTTGTACTAATTTGTCTTAGCTCAAGGAATCACTTGCACCTTTTCATAGATATGTACTATTATATATTGGTATGTTTCTAAGACAGGCCATTGATAATGCACCCCCTTTGGTCAAGAAGCAAAGAGAAGCTAGAATAGGTAATTCAGTATTTCCTTTTATTATCTTGACTTATACATGTTTAGTTGAAATGTTCACAGTACTATTAAGGCCTCCAATTGATTTCAAGGAGCGTAATCCTGTTGTGGCTAAAGAAAAGAGAGAAAAGTTTATTGTTCAACTATTGACTTCACTAAAATCTTAACAATAACTTGGTCATGTGACATTATAAAACGCTTTACATGTTTCAACTTTTTGCTTTATATAAATGGTGGGAACAAGTTCTTTTTTTTCTCCTTCTTTTCTTTGTATATCATGGCAGATAATATTGTGTGTGTAGATTATTTGGCACATGAATGGTCATGTAAAGACCTTATTCAAGTCTATCAAGAACTCAAGAAACAAAAATCAAAGACTTTATTTAATTTAATTGCTTGTGAAAATACGCCTAAAAAGCAAAAGAAATTAAGGACAGAGCAGCAAAGACAGATCCGATATCAAAATGCTATATGGAGACATATGGCAAAGACATGCACAAACAAACTGAGTGCTTCTAATACACTTGTTCATCCTTCCTCTGTGAATTGGCAAAAAGAGGCAGATATCACTTGGTTATACGGACCTTTATATGTATCGCCTGATCATTCGGATTTTTTAACGACAACACATATCTCAACCATGCCCAACTTAAGGCCTGCATTAAAAAAGACGGCCAGCACAAGTAAACATGCTATCCTATTAGAATTAACAAGCCATTATCATCCGCGCTATTGGTCCAAGACCGTGTCAGAATCAGGCAAACAGCATAGTGTGCGATTTCATCCAGATATTACAGAGGTCAGTTTTCTTCCTGAAACACCTACGCAGGAAATTTCTGCTTTTCTTGCCATGCAGCATGAAGAAGAACACGAAGACGAGGCTGAACCATTTTGGCCAATCATGAAGCAAGTAGGTTCTTATCTTGGTTCAAACCTGCTACAGAACTACCAACAACAATATACAAATATTACACAATTTTGTATGTCAATGACAACTTTTTTATATACAACACTTTTCATGTTAGTGTTTGGTCGACAAAAAAAAGAAGAAAAAATAAGATTTTCCTAGTATGAAAAGTTCAATAAAACTTGATCAACTTCAAAAACCAGCTAGGCTTTTTGTTATCATGGCTTGATTGGTATGTAAGAATGAATTCTTTGCTGTATTCAAATCACAATTTCATGCATATATTTACTCTATCAATGCTGAGTTATCATTATGACCCATGGGCTTATTGTGAGACAATGCCTTAAAAAATATTATCCCTTCCTTTTTTACCCGAAAAAGGGTTACTTTTTATACACGTCTGCACGTCCTTTTGTTTATCTCCTGTGACTCTTCTTTTCTGTGCTACTTTTATGCACATAGAATCAATACACTATCTTATTCATCGCCCAATCAAATCCAAAAAGAGTTTTGTGACCAAGTTTTTTTATTTTATTTTTTATTTTAAGTTTCAACAGTGTACCCCTCCCCGTTTTTTTTCCCTTATTACTAGTATGGCTCTTTCAGCTTCAAAGGCCACTCAAAATAAAGAATCAACAAACAAAATCATACTGGACTATTTGCTTTATCTCTCAATACAATCAAGACTAAGACAAGCGCGTGTGGAGCTTTTAGAACTTTCTTCACCTTTGCCCCAATCAGAGCAACAGGACGATACTGTTCAGAAACGTAAACAAGTATGGCAAGATACTGCTTCAAAAGCAGAAAAAGACAAGAATGCAGTTGAATCCATTGTAGCTGGTAATTTAATCCATCCTCATCCCCCGTCATTTTATTTATTTGTTTTTTCCCCTATAGGTATCTTATCCAGCCACTGCAATAAACAAATTGCTTCTTCAAATGCTATACTTGAGCAAAGACTTCATTTATGCCAACTTACCAATCTCGTATTTGGTCGATTTGATGCTTTATCTACCGGTCAGCATGTCATTGCTCATTCAACTGCTCGTCGTCGACGCCATGAATCCCATATGGTTCATTTAGATGATAAGGATACGACACACGAACAAGACAGCTTGAAGAAACGACAACGCATATTTTCGGTACCCATTTTACCAGCCTTTTGTCGAAGACACCGAATTCAAAACTGCTATGGATGTCGTTCACCTTATTTGAAAGAAAAGCCTAAGTATGCCATGAAAATGAACCAGGTACATCAGTTGGAAGAAGACAGTCCGATCAGTAACCAAGGGCCCTTCAAGACACTGGATTTAGCACGCATTTCACCACCTACGCCGCCAGCTGGTCTGATTGAAGCGATACCTACTTTTTTATGTACGAGTGCAGACATGCTTAGACGTGCACTTGATTCTTCACATGATATGAACATCATCTTTGCAGGACAAAAAGTGATGGGAGGTGGTATGCCACCACGATGGTATGATCTTTTTTTGGAATTGTTGACACAGGCTGCTATCGAAAGTTATTTATGTGACACTCAGGCTGGCCTAGAGCCTATTTTTGAGATATTTTCATATGGAGAAGTAGAGGATGAAGACCATGAAGAAGAGGAAGAGGAAGAGGAAGAGGACGAAGAACAAGTGTTGGATGAATGGGGTATTCGTGCCGCTGACCACCATTTGTTGTTTCCCAAGACACGAACAATGCATTTATATAAGACACAAGTGAGAGAAAGAGAGAAAGAAGTAAAGAGAAAAAAAAATAACGAGACAACAGGAAACAGTTTTGCTGATTTTATGCAGTTTTTATATGTAGAAGAAGGCGTGACACTTCAAGCTCATTTTGAAAAACTAGCCTCAAGATACCCTTTAGAGACATTTGAGAAAAACATTGGCGAGTTCATTTTGATGATTTTGAACATGATGGATGTGCCTACATTGGATAAAGTAAGTGTATTATATGCATACTGGTATTGACTATTGTTGATAGTATGAAAGTTTGAATGTTGAAGATTCCTTATCTGGACCTTCTGTTTACAAGTTTCCAAGTGATGGTTCGCTTTTAATGCCTGAAATCCCTGATGAGGATATAATAGAGACAAAGAAACGATCTGCTAGTGATCCTGTAGATCAAGAACACGAAAATAAGCGTATCAAAAAATGAATAAACTATGTTATTTAATGACATGTACCACTTTCTTTAATATTTTGACCCTCAATAATGTAGTTTAAGTTTATTTAAAGTAGCTTCAATATTTAGATAGGATTTTATTCATAATGCTTTAAAACTTAGCGTAAGTGGAGTGTCCCTTAAGGGTATTTTGAGTTTAAATTAGTATTGTCATGTCCAAAACTAAAATTAAAAAAATGAAAAAGTTTAAAAATTCAAGAGAAATGATAGATTAAAAGTGTCGAAAAACGAAGAGCTATCAAAGAATTGTATTAGAAAAGTTAGTAGATATAGACAAGACACATCTAATGATTGAAAGAACGCGGCATGATTAACTTCAAGGTAGTGAGCTATTCTTCAAAAGCGTGTTTTTCGTTTCTGAGCTGTAGTGTACATTTTTTATAGTACTTTTGCAAATACAACACTTTGAGTGTGTCTTAAAAGCCTAGAGAGACGATTCGTACTAAGATATATTATGTATATAACGTGTCTATCGCTCACAAATCGAAAAATAGTGAAAATTGACGATTTGTAAAAGGGATGTTTCCTGCCCTTTTTTTCTTATATTTATCACTCTATAGTTTTTTCTTTGGACTGACGGTTAGACATTTACCCCATAGGACCCAGTCTTCAAAACCTTTACAAATAAATATAAACTTTTACCGGGGATCATAAGGGCAAAATGACAATTTTTTGACTTTTTCAAAACCATAAATATGTTCTTTTATGTATACTCAAACATAGGAAACTTAAAAAAGGGGAATTAGAAGGCAGAAATAATGGTTTATTTAGGGCTGCTAGTACACTTTTGGTATTATTGTGCTTATCAATGGCTTGTGGGATTAATTTAAAAAAGAAAGGTAGTTTATATTGGAGGTTTATTCAAGAAAATCCAGGCTATAATCTAACATCGTATAATAAGTTTAATACTGGAAAAAGGTACGAATTGAGGACTAAAAGCATACTAGGTGTGTAATGTGCCAAATCGAATATTATTTCTATTTCTTTAATGGTGAACACTCTGTTCACTCGAATGTCCACTCCAATAACTACCTCAAAAAAGAAATGTAAATGTATACATTTCTAGGACGTAGCTGCTATTAGTTTTCTTAAGTGTGTAATCTTTATCCTTTAAGTGTTCAGTCTTTAGTTTTCATCAGTGCAATTGGTTTCTCTCAGTGTGAAATCTATTTCTCGAAATGATGTATTCATACAAAAAGCAGTCGATTTTTAGAGTGAGCATTGGAATGAACGGAGTGTTTCCCTTATATTTGATCCAGTTGCATAACAAGTGTATGTATTTGTGTAACCATTTGGTTTGTTTTTTTTTCTCCCCGGTAGTCAGCACCGTAAGTGTACACGCGCGCATTTTTATTTTCCCTCACCCTTAACTTTTTGTAATCCTCTTTTCTTTATTATTAATATTATTAATATTTTTTTTTTTTGGTTTATTCATGTCTAGAAACGATGTAAGATAAAAGTGTCTTTTTTGTTTCTCTATCGACTTATTTGTTTTCAAATAGCTCAATAACGTGATCAACAAGATCTCTGAAAATTTAAACAGTTTGGCTGATATCTTGCTTACAGAAAAAAACCAAAAAAAGAGAAAAGATCCTCATGCTCCAAAACCCCCTCCTACTAGCTTTATTCTGTTCAGCAATTCTATTCGAGAGAAAATAGAACAAGAAAAACCTAATGCCACTTTTGTAGAAAAATCAAAGATATATGGCGCCGAATGGCAAAAATTGACAGAAAAGGAAAGACAGGTAAAGAAAAGAAAGATTCGTGATTTGTATCTCATATAGTGCATGTAGCCCTTTGTTGAAGAAGCAAAGAAAGAAAGAGAAGAATACAAAAAGAAATTGGCTGAATACGAAGATGAGAAAATTCAACCACCAGAAAAGAGGGCAAGATTGGAAATTGCTTCTTCCTCTTCCTCCTCTTCCTCCTCTTCTGCGTCTTCTGATTCTTCCTCCTCCGATTCCTCCGATTCCTTCAGCTCTGATGAGAGCGATTGAAATGTAAAATTGTCATCACATTCGCTTGAATTATATTTCATTAGTGCTAAAGAAAATAAAGCATACATGACAAAGATAAAATATTCCTTATGAATGGCAATTGCCAAAGCTCTATATTTTGTGTGTTGATCATCTCTGTAAGTTGATTATAGAGTGAGCCAATCATAAACAGAAAAAACGCGGTCTACAAATATAATACGCGTTTGTTGATGCAGAATTCTTTCGTCTCTTTTTATTGTTTAGTTCATGAGCTACCTTGAAGATCCTGAAGACATCATAAGCCAATGTTTACGGGAGAACGATCCCATTCAAGGTAAAGCAACTCTGCTTGATATCAGTCTTCTTATTTAGTATAGAGATCTACAGTTCCCTCAAGAGCTTTATGCAGTTGGATATTCGACCTGAATTCTGCTCAACTTTATTTGTACCCACTATTCATCATGCAGCTAAAAATGCTCAGTCAGCAAGTCAAATTACAATATATAGCAAAGTACTTGAAGATCTATACAATTATGTATTAAGAGACGATCCTTCTGACGATAAATTCTTGACAGAAGCAAACCAAACAATCAAAGGTTAGCTCGTTTCTTTTGTTGTTCGGTTGATTGATCGTCTTTCATTAGAGCTTGCGTCTATACTGAGAAAAGACAAGATCAAAGTAATCTATTGATGGCCCATATATAGAGTAACTAACTCGTTGTTATTTACGCAGTTCAAATATTTCGCTGAATTACAGAGCCTTTATCCGCTTAAAATAATGAGTTTATTGGACATCAATATTCATTTTATCTCAACACTGATTGTACAAAATCGTATTCTTATGTCTGATCCAGTCATTACAACAGTCTGGAATTTGGTTTCTTTTGTACTTGCCCATCTTATTAAACTTCATTATCAGTCAGAAACCTTGATCAAGGTAATCACTTGAAAAAAAAAAAGCGATAAATAACCAATAACAGGCTTCGCTTGATTTAATTGTAGTCTGTATCCAAGAGCGCTTACTTGTTTGCCCTGACAATTGGGCTTTGGGAACACATTTAGAAAGCCTGTTGCTTCTGTGGGATCAAGGTAACTTATTGGAGGATCATAAAGACAAGATAGCCATTGCTATTTCGAGTCTGGTTGCATTCAGTCCATCCAATCATGAAGGCGATATAATCCATCTCGCTTCTTTAGCACGCTCTTTGATTGCTAAAGAGTTACCCAACTGCAATTATATTCGAGTTTGTATCAATTATACTTGTCAGATAGACTATTAACTCTTTTTTCTTCTTCTTCTTCTTCTTCTTTCTTTAGGCACAAGCATTGTATTATACACTCTGTATGCTGACAAAGAATTCAATTCAATTTATGGATCAAATTGAGTCACAGTCATCTTTAGGCATCATGAAAGATAAAATAACTATGCTCCTGATGTCCAGCCATCCTCCTCTTAATTCACAAGCCATGGATATTGACCAAGATGTCTCAGGAACAGCAGCACTTTTGCGGTCTGATCTACTGAATGGAAACGTACGCAATAGAGTCCAGACGATTGTTAATCATCTGACAAGCACACAAACAAAAGATGATCAGAACCATAATCTGATTGAACAGATAAGAGAAATCAGCATACAAACAGGCAATACAGATGTCTCTGTCTTGTTTTATTCACAAATGAAACAAATCGTTCAATTTGTTACTCGTATCTTGTCTGTGGATTCTGATCTTGCTGGTAACATTTCAGAGTTGTTTGGCTATGACATACCCCAGTTCTTGTTACATAATATGCATTTTGCACTGTACTATGCAATCACTTGTCACGATCAGCATGTCCTGGCCAATCTTGCCTTGGCATTGGAAACAAAGGTTGTCACTCTTTGCCAACAGAATGGACATCATATCATTATCGCACTTACTATGGAAGAAGATCAAACAGTGGCTCAGTCTGTTATTGAACGTCTGATTAAAATTCTTCGAGTGAAAGAACCTATTCGACATTTGGCACAAAAACACATGACCAAAATCACAATTAGCCTGGCCATGAATTTAGGGGATGTGAAGCAGAAACAGAAGGCTATTGATGCTTTACGGAACATGAGCCACATTACGAATGTGAAGTTGTCTGAGCATCTTTCGCTATATATGCTTGGTATCTTGGAAAAAGTCAATGGCTATATTTCTACTAAAAGAAATGGTAATCAAAAGATTCATTATCCTTTTGCATTAGAATCAATGATTGAAATCATGGTTCTGCTTGATGAAAAACTAGAGAATTATATACTGCATGTAAGATTGTCTTGAAGCATACATATAAAATAACGTTTTTATGCTTAGTTGATCAAATTATTTCAAGGTGTCAACAAATTGTCTGGCATGCAATCACAAGCATTATCATTATGGACCATGTTTATCAGCTGTGTGACGAAAAACATATTAGCGCAGCATTTGAATACAATCACACAGAGTTTGATTGACTTGTTTCGAGTCTCTGAAGCCAAGATACGTCAAAAGGTCATACAAACACTTGAAGATTTATTAGTTACAGGATATACATTTGAAGCAAATCAATATTCAAACTTGCCATTATTACCTCAGTTTAAAGAATTCAACGCTTTAAAGCAACATATTAAAGTTAAGGCTACATCTGCAAACCCACAAACACTCTATAAGCAAGAACTAGAGCACATCCTGAAAGATCTTTGTGAAGCAGATGATATGCCTATTCAAATCGCATTAGACAAGTTACAAAAACTATTGACAGACTATCCAAATGAAAGTCTGCACCTGGAAACGCTTTATTCTCGATTGCTCTATATCCTGCACAAGTACGCAACCCATAAACCTATTTCTCTTAAAGCTGCCATTTGCCTTGGTAAACTAGGGGCTTTGGATCCTGGCCTGATCAGTGTATCTACCATTGACGATACAGTGTTTATCATGAACAACTTTAGACGAGAAGATGAAGTAGGCGAGTTTGTATGTGACTTGATTACCAATTATCTTTATCCTGCCCATAATGCTTCCAACGATAACAACATGCGTGCATGTATTGAATATGCTATCAAGCCTCTTTTAGATTGTGCTAGATTTCAGCCTATCGAAAATATGACAAAGTCAGATGAACGAGTCAATCCTGCTGCTTATCGATGGCGAAAACTACCTAATTCAATTCAACAGTTCATAGCACCATTCTTTGTGGCTGCATATGAAGCCACATGGGAAACGCATACAAGTGCATATCCTATCTTTGCCAAAGCACAGAATTTTAAGGGCTGGCTACAAGCTTGGTTTCTTCGCATGGTCCATAGTTCAGAAGGTGTGGCTAAAGAAGTCTTTCAGGCGTTTATACCGATTGTCAAATCCAATATGCTAGACATCACTCGCCATTTGATCCCATACTTGGTTTTGCATAACTTGCTTTCTGGCTCTCCTGAAGATATACGGGGTATTATTGATGAATTGATGAATGTGATTCATGTCAATGCCAATTTGAATCCTCATCATGACCTGGGTAAAAACACATTCAATCATTATGCTCTGCAAGTCTGCGTAGAAACAACAGAGTATTGTCGTAAATGGCTGAACCGTGTAGGACGCAACGACCTGGAAAAAGAAAGCCAAGTCAAACGTATCAATACTTTTCTACAAGAGATACCTCGAAGAGATATGGGTATTGCTGCTTTCCATACCAAGGCTTATCCTCAAGCATTAATGCAGTTTGAGACATTTATCAAGGAAAAGAAGAACGGCCAACTGGATCATGATATCATGGATTATCTAAGACAGATCTATATTCAAATTGAAGACCCTATTGACCTTAAGGTTTTAATGGATACCTATACCACTGTGCTTACTTTAGATGAGCGTATTACTCGCTATGAGTCTTTAGGAAGATGGGATCAAGCACAAGTATTGTACAAGGGAAAGATCCGTGAAAAGGATTCGGATTTATCAGCCTATATGGGCTATATGGAGTGTCTAAGAAAATCAGGAAGTTATGACAAAATGATTTATGAGGCTGATACGATGCTTCATGATTTACCTCGTTGGCTTCCCAACATTAATTCATATAAGATTGATGCAGCCTGGCGTTTACAAAACTGGGATAAGCTCGACCAAACGGTATCTTTGCCTATACATCGTGATATACCTGCACTGATAGGCTGTATCTTGAATGATATGCGTAAAAAGAATTACACAGATGCAGCATCTTGCATTGAAGAGGCTCGTTATAAAGTAATTGAACAGCTTACTATCTCTCATAGCAAATCTTATCGTAAATCATATCCTCTTTTGTTTGATTTACAATTGTTGCAAGAACTCGAAGAATCACAAAAAATTTGGGAGCTTACTGACCCTACTGAAGACCTAAACAAACTTGAACAACGATGGAAAAAGACATTTAAGAACATCATACCTCATGCTCAATATCAACTCAACCTGTTACAGCTACGTAAAGCTGCTTATTTTGATATTCGACCCACGAATCAATTCAGTGTCAATGCTCATCAAACATGGCTGGCTATTGCTAAAATTAACCGCAAAGCGGGGAACATGACATTAGCTGCAGATGCCATTCAGCAAGCAGAAGAACAAAGTAAACAAACCCTCTATCGTGATAGAGCCAAATGGCTTTGGAAAGATGGATATCCTAAAGAAGCAGCAGAATTATTGCTTTCCAAGATCAATCATGGTGGTGTGGGATTTGAAGTAAGAAAGTACATTTATAGATGATAGGATTGACCTGTTCCATAGGAAGCACTTTTATATGTTGAAATTGATTTAGAAAATGATCTCGAAGGAGACGCCAAGAGTATGGTCAAGATCATCAATCGAGAAGGGCAGTTTGATGGCGAAAAGTAAGTGGATTATAATTCTGAAAAGATAATAACGATCTTTTAGAGCTGAAAAAGCTAACCATAATTGTGTCAAGTGGTATGCTAAGCGACTAAAAGAAACTCAAGATAAATTTGTCGAGTAAGAAATAGTCTTTTTCAAGTAGTTAAATAACCTCATTTTTGTAGAGTAAATATCAAAGCCTATCTTGTGAAAAGATCTATCAGTGCACTTGAATTTGGGTCCAAGTATTATTATAGCTCTATGTCTACTTTGTTAAATTGCTGGTTTGAAGTGGCTACATTAGGCAGTGAGATCAAGAGCGAGTGAGTATATATATATAAAAGAGATATTTATTTTCTAAACCATTTCTATAGATCACCCAATATGGCCCCTGATATTACCACAAAGATAAAGGAAGTAAACGAAATCATGCACAGGATAACTATCTCTGTTCCTTTATTTCAAGTAATGACATTTGACATATCGACCTGAATACTTATGATTTCGCTTAGTTTATTTTATTTTTGCCAAGATTTATTTCTAATCTCTCAATTGATAATGATATGGTTGCAGCATCTCTCATGAAAATAATTCTTGAAGTTTTTGCTGCTTATCCTCGAAACACAATTTGGCTTATGCTAGGTGCTTTAGAGTCACCTATTACCAAAGTAAGAACACGAATCAAGCAAATCTTTCAAAAAGCCAAAGAAAAATACAGCCATACAGTTATACCTTCTATCATTCTCCAAGCATTCAAGTTGCGAGAAGCTCTGCATGATTTATCCGAATTCAATTTTGACCCTAAATCAAATTTGGGCTCAATTGACATGGCCACGTTTGGAACAGGATCTTTATTGCCTCTTCGTGATCTTGATCTTTATATGCCAAGAGAGAGTTGTATGTTACCAACACAGCCTGAAGTCATCAAAAAGTCAGATAGAAACTTTGATCCTTTTCCAAGCAATTTGCCAACAATTGCACGCAAGTATAGTTGTAATCAAAAGACATACTTATTGTTGTATAGGAATTGAGCACAAGATATTAGTGATGCGTTCTCTACAAATGCCAAAACGTATCACGATTGTAGGTTCTGATGGTAAGCTGTATAAATTCTTGGTCAAGAAAGAAGATGATCTTCGTAAAGATGCTCGAACCATGGAATTTAGCAATATGATCAATACATTCCTTCGAAAGAATCCACAGGCTCGTGATAGTGGTTTATGTAAGCCCATTTAAAAAAAAAAAAAAACGGATAGACATAGACTTATGGTGCTCATAGACATTAGAACATTTGCCGTAGTTCCTTTAGGGCATCGATGGGGTTTGATTGAATGGATTGATAACTTGAATGCTTTGAAAGCCATTGTCAACGATTACTGGGTATCAGAAGGACATGCTTCTGTAAATGTAAGTGCTTATTTGTAGAACAATGCATAACCCTATTTAGTCTATTGGTGCAAAACTCGAAAAGATCAAGCTGGGCCGAGTGCCCGAAAAACTTCAAGTGTTTGAGAGATGCTTAGCAAAGTAAGTCTTGGAGAAACGTGAATCATATCCACTCATGTTGAACAAGTTCTCCTTCTGTATTCTATAAATGGTTCTTGAAAAACTTTCCTGAACCTAATCAATGGTTAAACAGCAGAACAAGATACATAAAAACATTGGCTGTTATGTCTATTGTTGGTTATTGTATAGGGTAAGTTGTTTGGCTTATTTCTTATCATTCATATCAACATAGTCTGGGTGATCGACACGCTGAAAATATCATGTTTGATCAAACGAACGGTGATTGTGTACATGTTGACCTCAACATGTTATTTGAGAGTGGTTCAGGACTTCCTACGCCTGAAATTGTACCATTTCGTCTCACACATAACCTGGTAGATGCTTTAGGTGTGCTAGGATATAAAGGCATCTTTCAACATACATGCGAACTTACACTTCAAGTCCTGCTTAACAATCGTGAAGCTTTACTGGCAGTGTTTGAGACTCACATCAATGAGATTGAAAGTGCTCGAAATGTAATATAAAAGTATACACACAAAAAAAAAAAACGTTTACTTATAGTTTGTATAGAATGGTTCAAGAAATATATTGCGCGTTTCTGGAAGTAAAGCAACACAAGACATGATTCGATTAAGGACAAAGTTTGATACAAAACCTGAACAAATCAATAGTGAAGTGAACCGGTTGATTAAAGAAGCAACAAGTAAAGAAAACCTTTGTCAAATGTATCATGGTAAGCATTTTTTTTTATTTCATGCAAAAACTCAATCATTTAGGCTGGGCTCCATTCATCTAACAAAAAAAGGTGCAGTTTAAAGAAATAAAAGAAAAAGCTTTTTTTTTAGTATCATGATTAAAAAATCTTTTGATCTCGATTCTTTTTACCAGTTACTTAAAGCACGCGTTTTTCACAATATAGACTATCAGACATGGCTATTGAATTCGATGAATGACGCGACATTACCTATTCATCCCAAGTTTAGTCTTGTCATTGATGAATTCGTTCAAAGGTACTCCTTTTAGATCAATGCACCGAGATTGATCAGTTTCTATAGTATATTCTTGACTGACCAATGTCAAAAGATACCTGAAGAGATCATTCAACCCTATTTTGATGACTGTACAACTATTTCCCCTACACAAATCCTTGTGCTTTTATATATCTTGACATTCAATGATTACATAATCGCATTTCGCACTGAACCAAAGCTTGTTGCTCTTTCTTCTAACAATTCTATTGTACAAGAGGGTATGACGATATATAAAAAGAACAGCGTGTAATGACCTGTCTATAGAATACTCGAATGAACTATTAGACCGTATCCCGATTCGATATATTCTAGACTATGTTGAACTTCAAGCAAGACAGCCTTACAAAGCAATCTATTCAGATTTGTTGGCACTTGCTGCCAACTTGTTTCCCGAGTTTTTTGATGTTCAGAGTTTTTTGATACAGGAAGGGAAAGATGTATCATGGGATCACCATACAAGACCAAAGACAATGTCGCTAGATCAATTGCAGCATCAGCTAAATCAATGGGAATTGAATCCAGCAACGACGATTGAAGGTATATTACAATGTAGGGCCTAATCTATTATGGCTGAATGCTTCAATAGCACTATCTTTTTTAGAAACAATAGCTGCTCCTGAGAAGGAAGGATATATATCATGCATGCTATCTACACTTGTGGACCCATGTTTAGCAAACAAACTGGATGATAGAATTGCAGAAGCCTTTAGATCCACTTGGGAAACATTCAATCGTGTGATACCGCATACTTTGTGGGCAATGACCATCAACTATTTAATTCCAGAGTAAGTTAGACTTGAGTTTTTACTTAAATAACATAAACAGGACAAGCAATTATACATTGAATGATTTGAATCAAGATATTCATATCGTATTTAAATGTGATTCACGTATATTTAGATCTGAACAGTTACTACCTATTTGGCTACATATTCTATCATGTCTTCGAACAATGTCTAGGCATCGTATTTGGAAGAGATACCATACTCATTTCTCTCGTCCTGAAGTAAGTGAAAGCATACTAAAAAGAAAAATGGAAAATAATGTTGAGTAGAATCATTCTATTAATTCACGTAATGTAATGGCTCTTGTTAACGCACAAGATTCATTCACAATCCAACTATTACTTGAGCTTTGTCTAGCAAAACCAAAAGATAAAGACAATCAAGGTATGTTAAAAACGATAGTACTTGTATTCATATCATGCCTTTAGATGCTCTAGAGAAATCAAGGAAATTGATATGTGATTTTATTCATACTATCTTTATTGATGGTGATCGAGATATGCTTTTAGCCAAAATACTTCACTTTCAGACTTACTCCACAGACTTGATCCCTGTCGTTGTCAAACTGATACCCTCGCTTTATATTGTACTTAGTTTTATTCCTGAACTCACAAGACAACCTCAATTAGAAAAACAAGTGTTTGGTATCTTAATAGCATGTCATTTATGTGAAAAATACCCTTTAGAAAACTAGTAAGTTGCGCCCTTGAGCATTCAAGTAACTTATTATCCGTCAGCTTAATCACAGCAGAAAAACATGTACTCCCTCGTTTACTTCGCATTGCATTTCCTCTGACACGAGAAGGACAACCTTCCAATGTCTGCGTGCCATCCGAATTTCTGGTCAAGGCTATCCCAGGCTTTGTTCATCTTGCTCGTGCATTTCCTCACTTTGGCCCAAAAATCTTGAGTGCGTTTGATGATATCGCGAAAGGGTTACCTGAGCCCAAGCAATTCATTGGTCAAGAGGGCAATAGTAAAATCATTCTAGTGCTTCAATTGCATGCTGTTCTAAAAGATTCGAGAGAACAAGTAGAAACAGAAGTTCGCAAAATGGACTTGGTGAACAAAGTAATTCTTTAAGTCTTTGAAAAGCAACACAAACACGAACAAAACCATCTTATGTTTTGGAAAAAAATTTTTTTTTATTATGATAAAATAACTT